AGTGACATTGGTCATTTCTGGACATTACAATTGGGTAGCTTTAGCTTTACCTCTTAATATTACATGGCTAGCATAGCTACTAACCTGGGACATTACAAGACTAGTATTAAGCTTGATGAAACAGTCAGTATTAGCTGCTAATTTGTCTTCACAAATTTAATGGTAAATTTAATGGGCTTATATCAGGAATTGTGATTGTATCACCTTAGTCCAGTGAGAATGGAGAATGTGTTGGTGGAGAATCTCAAATTGATTGTTGTTTACAGCTTGTGAAATGATGCTTTTTGCACCATGACTAAAGTTATGTGTATGGTTAATATTGGGGGGGTCCTAACCCAGAAAAAGAAATTGTATTTTTGTATTGTATTTTTACACTACATAATCTTTGATAAAGATTACAATACATAATCTTTGATAAAGTCAAGAAACAGCCACCTGTACTAGTCTAGATTAGTTAGACTGAGGTGCTATGAAAACCAAGACTGTATCAAGAACAATTTCTAACTGGGTTAATCAGGACAGGAAATGATTATTAGAAGAATGACTGTTTAATATTTTAAATTATAGGCCTACTAAGAAAAAAACAGTGTGTAGCCTCAAATGGTAGTAGGTTGCAGGCTACTAGACCTTCTTCATGGTCAAACAAAACAATTAAATAAATGAAATAGCCTTACAACACATCACAATATGAGTTGGATAATTGAACCTGGTTAAACAATGTTAAACCTGAGGGTTGCTATTCCCAGTACTCACAAAGTCATCCGTATGAATGAAATGGCCTTACAACAGCTAATTCTACCTATTTATTATACACACCAGTTCTTATGGTAGCTCTTCTCAGAGCACCACTAGCTGGTGTAGTTGTAATGTCATACAGGAAGGAGTAATTCTAACTAAAAAAGCAGTTGCTCTGGACTCTGGAAAAAAGCCTGATATTCGAGCTTTGTTCACAGAAAGCCTGTTTAACATATAATTATATTTCTTCACGATAGAGTAGCTTCGAGGCTTTCTCTTATTTGACATGAGATTTGAGAGATTGTTTTCAGAGAGATTGGAGCATGCTGGCAACCCAGTGTAATGGAAATGAAAAATTATATATATAATTATTATTATTATATTACTATTTCAGAATTGAAGTAAAATCACACTCATTATTTTTGCAAAGGCATACTAACCTAATAATCTGTTAATGGGAATCATGGGAAAGTTTCAGAGTGACAGACACAGCTCCAAAAAATCTCTAAAACTGAATTTCTGAACAAACTCTGACAGAGCGTCCTGTAACCATAGTAACTCACTCACGCACACTTGCCTGCCTGTGCACAGTGCAAGAGAAGAGGTAGAGACACTGCTGTCAGAAGATCCGCTGACTCCTCTGAGCAGCATGCATGGGAATAAATTACAATATAACAGTTTATGAATATTTCTCACTTTCTCCCGATAGTTGAATAACTCGTTGCTGCATGGTGCTGCTGTTGTATTGTTGCTCTGTCTTATCTGCCAATGTGCTGTCAGTGTCCTCTTTACATGAAGCCACACCATCAGTTATGAATCTGTTTTTCATGCTCTGCACCCCCTATGCTGGAGTTCTATTGAAGTGTGCAATTTGTATGATGACATACCTGACCCAATTAAGCTCATGTCTCTTGAGACAGCTGATTGGTCAGAGGCCTGGGGCTCAAGCCCATGTAAGCCTGCACATTAAGGCATCACTGGATACAGTAAGTTCCTTGATAGAATTTGGGTGTAGAAATCGCCTAAAATATCTTTTTGAAGTCTAGAAAATTACTCAAGATGCTCTTACATTTACTGGGACATTTAAAAAAATACAAGTGTCATATGATGATATTTTATATTGAGGGAGACAGACCTCAGTTCCGGCTTGGTGCAATTTGGACATGAGGAGGCGGAGATCAGCTGTGGCAGGCTCTGGCTCAGTTCACCCCCTGATGGTAAGATAAAATGAAAACATGTCAGCAGCATTAGCTGCTAACTTAAGGGAAAGCACGCCCAGCATGAAGCTATGACAGTTAGAAGATAGTAGATACTAACTTATGGACTACAAGACTAGCATGAAGCTAAATAATACAGGGTCACTAACATTAATCAGACATTAAAAGGCTAGCATTAACTGCTAAAGTACTACAGTTTGGGCATTGTAAGACTAGCATTAGCTATTAAACTTCATAAATATGGATCATACAAGACTAGAAGAAGCTGCTAACTTTTGGACCTTGCAATTACAAAGGTGTCTGTAGCGCCTCCTAACCTCTGTACTTTACAAGGTTAGCTTTAGCTACTAACTCTTGGAAACAAGAGTTAGTAGCTAAAGCTAAAACATATATACATAATAGTAGCTACTAACTGTCAGGTTTGAGTAGTTAATGGTTTGCTGTGTAAGTGACAGCCAATCCTGAACAAAATGTCTTTTCTCTGACCCATCATCTGAAGCAACATCAGTTTCTTGTGATGACAGCGCAGCTGGACCACAGCTGGATCAGTTGTCAGTCTGCAGGTGTTAACAACTTTTTATGCCTTGGAGTTTGTAATGTCCAAATAACAAGAACATCCAGTGCAGCGCTGCAGTGACACCATCCAACATGACAAAAGTGACTGTGAAATACCATAAATAAATTGCTTGTCAGCAGGTGCCCGTTCATTAAAAAACTTTATTTTTGATTAAATTGTCAACACATCCATCAAACCACAGGTAAGTTTCTGCTCAGACACTGAAAGCTAATAAACCAACAAAGCTTTATTCATTTTTGGATTATTTGCATCTGCATTTATTAATGTTCTCTTTGTAAATTCATTATGTCCATTATCCAAGTTATGAGAAGGATGTCTTCTAATTTGTAGAAATGATTAAAGTAGTGTTTATTTTAGTGATAGTGGAAAATATATTAAATATCAAGTCAAAATATCCTTTCTACTTGATGCACAGGGATTTTCAACCTGACAGAAACTGATGTGAAATGTTTTTACAGCTGAAAGCAACAGACTCTTCCTCTCCCTGACTATAAGATTATCTACGATACAATAATGAAATGGGAAAATGATCAAAGATGAAAAGAAAAATCTTTTTCATGAACGATGAAAGTTGTTTTATGATAACTCTAACCCTATTCTTAATCAGACCTGATGCAACTGTTTGTTGTTCTAGATACATTTGTTCTCCATGTTTTCAGAATTTATTAAATATCACAGGACTTCCAACAGATTCATCCTAAGGTGGCGGGAAAACTGTTTGAAAACTGGGCTGCTGTCGGTGACGGAATCCTCACATGTGCCCAGCAAGAGGGAAACTGCACTTAGTGCTGGATGACATTACACCAGGTAACCTTAATATTTCTTATAGGAATATGTCATCATCTATTAAAAAAAACTGATCCTACATTTTTTTGCATTTTGATACTTCCACAAAATAAGCTTGATAACTTAAAGTCAGTTTTATTTCAACATTAAGTGATGTGTAGTTGATTATTTAGAAAATGCAGAGACCAGTCAAGCGTTCCTGCACATTTTGTGCTTTGGGGATGAGATGACAACGTGCCAGCTCTTCACTGCTATTTCAGGCCACGCCATCAAAACAGACTCTTCGCTGGAGGGTGTAGATGTTTGTGTTTGACATCAATTACACCAAGCAGTGCCTCCCCCACCTGGGAGTTTCTCTGGCATGCAGTGTATTGTACATTATGTACATTTGTATTCTGCATGATAACTCGTTTTTCTTTTATAATATACTGTTGTTGTTGTTGTTGTTGTTGTTTTTATCATTAGATATAAGGTATCAAGGCAATAAGTCAAGAAATAACCCAGTTTATGGGTAACATGTAATCCAGCAATAGAGTTCATTTTGCTCACCAGGTTAGTTAAGAGAACAACCAAAACTTCTGGGTTGAAAGGGAAACCCCATCTCTTGGGTCAAACCAACCCAGCAAATGTTCTGTCCCATAGTTACCCAGCTGTGGAGTTATGGCTGGGTTATGTTTTAACCCAGTAGTTTTTGAGTGTGAATATTATAATACACACGTTTATGGTGTTGAGATCTATGACTTTGTACAATTTGGTGCAGATCCAGATAATGATCTGATAATAATCTGGATGTGGTGAAAGAAACTTGCAACATGCAATTTATAAAATTAGCCTTGTATAATGCTGACGTCATCATATCACACAACAGGTAATAACACCATACAGCTGTTGGGATTAAAGACAATAAATTGCGGAAAAAAGATAAAAAAAATAAAAGTGTACTTGACAAAAGAGGTGTAGGGTTGTTTGCCTTGGTGGAGGTATGTGCTCTCCTGAGTGTCATATATGAACGAGAATGAAGGAGTTTTGAGAAGGATACTAAGTAAATATATGGTGTGTGTGTATATATAATTGTTGTGATAAATGTCCAAATCTTATTATCATGACCATTTTGATATAACTTTGTAGGACAAACACAGACTTATTGCAAATGGTGGCCGTTGAGTATGTGTGCATTATCGTGCAATAAAACAAATCACTGCTCATATTAATGGCATAACGGCTCACTCGAAGCCATATCACAGGAATAAGAAGGGATTAATAAGAGCTAGGTGATGAATATGAGTCACTCACAAACTGCACTGTGAACGGAGGCGTGGAGCCAACTGTGGCATGCAGACAACAGCACCGTCCACTCTGCCAACACTGACTCCTCCACTGGGAAGGGAGGACTCAGAAAACTGCAGCTCATTCGCCTTCAGTGTGTCGCCTGTGTGTGTGTGTGTGTGTGTGTGTGTGTGTGTAGGTGTAGTAGTCATGACAGCCTCAGACACCGGCCGTCACCCCCCACCACCACCACCATCATCACCACCACCACCATCACCACCGCCTCCTCCTCCCCCAGCACGTTGTGGACGCTCGATTCCGGCGCATTGCTGTGCTTTCCCTGTTTTCTCCTGCGTTGTTTTTGGACCCGAGTGTCCCGCAGTGACCATCGACTGACTGCTGGACTGCAGCAAGTAGTCGACCCCCGCTTGTGCTCGGTGTACCGAGAGAGCTCAGGCATGCCATCTGTCTCGACTGGCAACACTGTTGTTGTCTGGGCCGAAATTCGTTTCACTACTTGAGGGAATCAAAGTTGCTGCAATGGAGACTCCCGGGAGTGATGCGGCTCTCACACACTTGGGGAAAGCTGAAGACAGAGACGGATATTATGATGTGGAACATCTGCCTCCGCTGCTGGAGGATGAGGTGAGACTATATGGTTGTTAAGTTATAATGAAATACAGTTCTTAGCATTCATTTAGAATAACAGGCTTGACTTCAGACTTGACTGTTTTCTGATTAGTAGCCTATAGGACAAATGGGTAAATTACTCATTAGGTAAACTTTACAATAAAAGAAACGTGTCATCCCCAATGTAAAAGCTGAACAGCTGGTGGATACTGTCTCCAGTGTCCTCGCACATCCTGTCAAGCTGTCATACTGAGTTCAAGTTGATATGGTGATTTCATAAATAGGCCATGAGGAGGATTTTTCCTACTTAGTCAAACTGCAGAGGATTTAAAGTCAGTTGCACAAGATTTCAAGACCTTAGATTATTGGAATTTTTGCAACACACACACACACACACACACACACGAAGACTTTGTCAGTTCATTACAGTATGTCAGAGTTATTATGTCTGCACCAGGTGGCAGTGGACCTGATGCCATCACTCTTCTGTCATACTGTCCATTTACTGTTTGTCTGACCTGCTTTGTCTCTGTAACCTCTTGCTATAACTGCTGGAAGAAGGAGGCTACTCAGATCCTTTCCTTAAGGATAAGTACTAAGCCCTACTATACTCTTTACTGAAGTGAAAACAAGTATTCGCAGCAAAATGTATTCAAAGTATCAAAGCAAAGTTTCTTAAGTGACTTTTTTATATACAGATATGTAGAGTCGTGTAGTTGTTTGAGCATCACAAGATAAATCTGGAGGCTCTAAGATAATGAATGAGGTAGAAAAGATGAAAACAAAAGCCTCAGACATTTATTCATTTATTCTGAGAAGTTTAAAGAAATCAGTATATCCTGGAACAGCAAACTGCTCATAGACATCTACAGCATGCTTCTTTGTAAGGGGGTCACAAGACAATAAGGCCATGCACTTTATAGATTCATTGCATTTTTATGGGAGATATTCATCTGAAAAGTATCTTGTATCAGTCAGTTAAATGCAGAGGAGTGGAGGTATAAAGTAGCATAAATGCAATGCAATTTCAGGTCTGTCTTAAATCAATAGTCAGGTGTTGCTATGTACATTGAAAGCTTTTTCAGCTTTTTCTTGCTGTAATCGTTCCTCCCGTTCACACTGGCCATTAAGAGATCCCCTCCTAATGAGCTGGTAAGTGATAGGAGACAAAATCCACAATCCTTTTTTTTCTTCTGTAAAAATATATTCCAAAGTCTATATGATGTTAATATGAGGCGTCAGCAGTGTGAGTCAGACGGAGCAAGTGGGTATCATTTAAAGTTTTTAATAAAAAAATGTCCTCTTTGTTTCCCTGCACAGTGTTAACTTGTTGAGCTGCAGTGAAGTGTTAGTGATACAATGAGGTAATTCTGTCCTAAAAACAGTAACTCTGGAAGATATCTACCTGATTTAGCTTCATCTGACTGCCGAAGTGTCGTATTAGCCTCAGATAAACTTTGGAATACATTTTGCAGGGAGGGAGGTCTGTGGATTTAGTTTAGTCCCTGATCTCAGATCTCTGGCTGACCAGTAAGAAAGCAAGAAAAACCTGTTTTAACAGTCTATGGGCACCTGACAGTTGTTGTTAAGACAGACCTATCCTTTAATCCTTTAATACATACAGTTCTGGCATGCTCTTTCACTTCTCCTCTCAGTCCCAGATTACAGACACAGGAAGAACACCACCACTAGTCTCATCAGACTGTTGGAGCTCAGAGGCAAACTTATGTAGGACAGCATATTTAACTTGAGGGGAGTGAGCGAGACTTCCAGCTTTCCCCTGCACTGTTCTCAAGGGAAACTGTCTATTTATGGGGCTGCTGCTGCTGCTGCTGCTTGAAATGGCACTTTTCTGCCCTGTAATTGTGCTCTACCCCACTAGATCACATCAATGTGCTTTGTTCACAATATGCTGCAACTGTCCTGCACCTACAGGAGAGTTGAGGGAGTCACAAAGCCAAACAGATGGACACTTCTGTTGCCAGTCAGAGACAATGCGGTTGTTGAATATCAAAGAGATCACAGGCGTTAAGACTTTCACAGTTAGAGTAAAAATAAGTTTCCATTGAGAGATGCTCTGGTGTGGTATAAATGTCATGGAAGAAAAAATATGTCAAGTTCATGGTAATTAAAAGTACTGGATATAGTGTTAGACAGTCGCTGCTTTGTGAAGACCCCACACTGCCCACTTCCGCCCTTCCATCTGAGCCCAGGCCCATGTGTTCACATGCAAAGCGAACAGAAGATCCTGTAATGATCAGACAGTGGCATCATGCAGGACGCTGCATGGAATCTCTGAGATCACTGCGTCTGCCCGGATAAATGGGGCCATTTGGTGATAGTGGATCACAGATGATGTAGTGTGTTAATGTGGGTATGTAGAGTCACTCCGTGTTATGAAAAGTGTGATGTAATGTACTTCGTGTACCAAATACCCTTGCTACTGAATATGATTTTTTGCTCTTGGCATCAAAATTAGGGCACTGATCAGGGGCATTCACTGTTTTTTTTTTTTCAAATTAAAGGTCCCATATTTTATTGTGTTCTGATGTTTTGATATCCAGGGGAAGATATACTTGAGGTTTTAAGTACAAAAAACCATCTCAGTGTAGTTTTACAGCTCCTTTGCCAGGCTTTGAGCTCAAGTAACACCAGTTCAATCAGCCAATCAGAAGAGAGGGTCAGAGCCTGTCTTGGAAAAACTCAGCTGTAGTGACGATGGTCAGTTTTAAGGTTTTAAGGCTCAGTTTCTGGATACAGACTGTGTGCATTCCTCTGTTTATTAAGCACTTTGATATTTTCACAGTGTTTATACAGCACTTTGACCTACTTTATAAACACATTTAAAATCTAATTTCTCTTTCTACAATATGGGACCCATAAGACTTCTGTATAACGAGGGACGTCCAATGGGTGGCTTAATTATATGAAGTTTAAGCCTGCAATTGTCCTACAAGTGAAAATAGCATAAATGTGTCAATAAAAAAGTCTAAAGTTAGAAGTCTGTATTATAACTGTAAACAGCATGTCCATTTATCTTTGTGTCATAGTTGGGTCTAGTTAACATACATGTATGTAATACTGGAGTGAAGCCTTGGTCATGCTGCTAGCATCACGTGGCTTGCTGTGCATTCTGCAGCACATTTTATTCTGATAGAGTGTGATAGAAAATGTGCAAAGACTTGATAAACTGTTTATACAGAGGCAGCTCCCTCTTTTCCTCTCAGAAATGTGTTTTGCGTATTGTTCCTTCTTGTGGATGTTTGAGCTTCGCTGTGCAGAATAAAGTGTGCACAGAGTTTGACACTAAAGGCTGTTTTCACATTCATCTATTGAAGAGCAAAGGTTTCTTTGTGCTCAATTTAAATCTGAGTTTAAGACAAGAATGTACGACTCGCAAATTGATTTTTTATTTTCTCCCCAATTAGATTTTTTGTTTCACTTTTATGATAATGATTTAATTTTCGGGGTGTGGTTTTCCATCTTGTTACACTTTGATTTACCTCCACTCAGCTCACACCTACTGTCTCTGTCTAAAGCTGAAATAAATGTTGACTTGTAGACAAAGAGGCAGTCTCAAGGGAGGAAGACAACTGATCATTTTTCTAGGACTTTCAAGGACAAATGCAACATCTACTTTTCTCCGCTTCAAGGAGAAAGATACCATTCTTCAGGAATGCAATCTCAGACAGCATTATGAAACGTACAGAAAAGAGAGAAGGGGAAGAGTTTCTCAGCCTTACAGTGATTATACTTCACATTTATTGCTGAACTTTTTTTTTTATACAGAGTATTCAATCCGCCTCCTGTTTGACAGTAACCATGCCATTAGCTGCAAACTTAGTGACCCGCTGCAGTAAAGTGTGGCAGTATCGCACACTGAGTTGAGTTATGAGTTGAAAGTTTGGAAAATATAGTAAATCATAATATATTGTATTGTAAGTATTGGTATAATACAAAACTATAAAATAAAACTTGCAATTGCAATAATTAAATAAATAAAAATGGTAATATAATATAATATAATATATGTTGTCTAACCCCTTGAACCTTCTGCAATAAGGTCTTCACTTTAAGCTGTCATGCTGCTGCTGCTACTGCTGCTATATAATTGTAGCAGTTCCCTCACCTCCACCTTTAGTGTCTAGTTTCTCCAGAGTTGAGGTAGAACTCCCCGACATCCCTCTGTGCTGCAGAGATTGACAAGGTCAAAGCCTTAATGCCAAACTTTAACTTTGCACGCGCTGTATTTACATTTTAATAAACCGGTTCCACATGAGTTAGCGGACTGAAATGAAGCTGAGTGCAGGCTCACTCTTTAAAACTTTGATGGTGCATTCTGGTGCTCATGCTTAGGTAGGACAACATGAATGCTCTGCCTTCTGGTCCCTATCGCTGTACATTAAAATATGATATTCTATGCAAAGACTCCTCACTAAATTAAAAGTCCTTCAAAGAAGCCGAATCATTTTATTCATATGGCTATAGCCAGACTTGAGTGGGAAGCTTGTAGGTTCTGTCAGGTGCAGCCCTCATTAGTTAGGATGACGGTGATGCAGTCTGCTTCCTATTGTTTTGAAACAACTGGATGACCAAGCTAAGTAGCTACAAGCTAATAATGGAAAATTCGCACAAAAATGGTCAAGGCAGGTAATTATTAAAGAGTAAAGAGAAATCCTCATTTACATTTGCCCTTACACAAACACTAAACAAGAGCCAGAGCACTTATACAGATCAGGCCTGCCCCTTCAAGTTTTACCAAAATTCAAACAACCTAGGCTGTTTTTAATCTCAAGCACTGTATACTTGTGTGTGCGTGTGTGTGTGTGTGTGTGTCCACAGGAGAACGTGTCCCTGGCAGACATCCTTTCTTTGCGGGACAGCTGTTTGTCTGAGGAGGAGGTGTGGGCGGTGTGTGCAGAGTGTGCTCTGGCCCTGCAGAGCATCAGACCCTCCCACCTCTTCCATACCCTTTGCATAACGCCCGACACGCTGGCCTTCAACGCCCATGGGAATGTTTGCTTCATGGAGCAGCTCAGTGGTGAGTCTATGGCACAGATACACTGTTATTTATATATTTGTTCTATTTGGACAAGAACTCCACCACTTTCAAGACATATTATACTCCTTGAGTTGCACTTTACTACTTTTTTCTACCTGACACTCTTTACTGTTTACTATTGCTTGCATGACATTTTGCATATTACTGTATATCCTGATATTGGATTTGACTTCCACCCATTATGTAGCCAATGGTTGGGCTGTTGAATCCCACATGCTGCTGTAGTAGACTTTTATTTTGAAACAAGGATGTGAATACATAAGAGATTTGGAAGTTTGAATATGAGGTTGTGCGTTAACAGCTTAAACTGTTTGAAGCCACCTTTTTCTCCTCAGTGATTTTTTGCCCTGATCTAAATCGGTTTCAGTTTGCTAATTCCTGCTTGAAAACACACTCTCAGTGACACAGTGGATCTGTGTGCAGGGCTGCTCTGATTTGAACACGAGACATCTTCCTCCTTCACAGTCCTGCACATCAAACAGAAAGACGGATTTATCCTCTCAGGAGTTATTATCCCTCTTTCTAGTCTCCAATCTTTTTGTCATTCCTTCTCCTCTGCTGTTCTCATTCTCTCTCTATCTCATTCTCTACCTCCTCAATAACACACACACTCAACACACACACACACTCATGTTTGCATGCACATGTGCACATACACACACACACGCACACACAGTATTGCACGCACTTGTTCCATGCCCTGATGCCAAATGTCAGAAATTGATAAGCATTGATTAGAAGAGCAGTGTTAGAGTTGCCAGGGGGATTGTTGTTGTGGTAACAGCTCGGTTAACCTATCAGCAGTCAACCTGCGCTGCTCACACACACACACACACACACACACATATAGTCAAACACATTACACAGGCAGCATGGTATCCTTTTGAGTGTTGTATCCATTTTGTATCTCTACACAGATCTTTAGTAACAGAGACACCATGAAGCGATGTTTTGATTACTCTGTCAGCTAAAATCCTCCACTGGCTCATTTGTTGTCCTGCTATATTGGATTGCGTTCACTCCTTTGGCTATGATTCATCCTGTAGACAGAGAAAAGGGGCCGCGCTGCCCACATTAACCTTCTTGTGTTGCTGAACACACATCCTGAACACAGTGCATGTGTATCATTAATCACAACACTACGCTCTCTGCTTCACTCGCTGCACAGTTTCCTGTTGATTCCGTCTAATTGAGCTCTTTGTGCGATACCGGTGAAATCTCAAGCTGACGCACACTTCGACAGCCAATCCCGTGCTCCCACACAAACTCTGTCCCTGCCAGGCTGCATAATAGAGTGACCTTGAGGGGCTGTAGTCATGAATCTCAGTGAGAATAGCTGTTGCCACAGTGACTCATCAATAGGGTTCATTTCAGCTAATTAATTACTGCGGTAATAACAGGAAGGCAGTTGTACGTGACTGTGGGTGATGTGGTAGCGCCAAAGCTACCGGCCAGAGAAACAAAATGTCCTCTAATGGTTTTAATACCACGTTGACCAAGAAGAGCTGCTAATTTTCCCAGGAGGTTCTGCAGTGCAAACTGTTCCATTTGTGATAAAACGGGACTGACTGTGCTCTCTATAATCAGCACATTTGGAGAGAGTGTGATATTGCTCAGCTCATACTACCTGTTGTGCTAAAATGCTGTAGGCATACATGACTCACCAAGCTCTCACCATCACCCTGGAGGCAACTGCGTCACTGACAACGGCTGTCTTTTTTCCCCCTCTCTTATTCACTGCCTATTTCACCGGGTTACAGTTCTTCCCGACCTCAAAGAGTTTAAATGCCTCGTCCTCCTTTTGTTCTCCTGTTTGTCCCTTTCCTCCTTCGTGTTTGTTTGAACTGTCGACGTCTTTGAGAGGACAGAAGGAAAAACAGGGGAGAGTAGGAGATGAAAAAGCAAGGAAGGGGAGGGCAGGAAAGAGGTGAGGAGAGAATAGGAAAGAGAAGGCGAGGGCAAAGCAAAGGGAGGAGGAAAGTGAAGGATTGAAATGAAAGGAGAGGAGAGGGATGAGAAGGAAAGGAAAAGGGGAAGGATGGGTGAGTAACAGAAAGTAAAAAGAAGACAAGGTAAAAAAAGGCTGAGGAGGAGGTCAGTTGAAGCAAGTGAGGAGGAAAGGAAAGACTAGGACAGGAAGGGGAAGGAAATGAAATGGAAGAGAGAAGAGGAAAAGAAAGGAAGGAAAGAGGACAGTAACAGAAAGAGGTGAGAAAGGAAACAGGAGAGGAAATATAAGGAAAGCCAGGAGAGTCAAGGAATAAGAAGATTAGATGAAAAGTGCTGAGGAGGAGAGGGAGTTAAAGTGTAGAAGAGAGGAAAGGAAAGGACTGGACAGGACGGGAGAGGGGAGAGGGGAGAGGAGGGGAGCGCAGAGAAATGGAGATTAGCCTCACTCAGTACACCTGCGAGAGAATAGCATCATGATCCAGATCCGTCATGACCCACTTTACTTGTTTCCTTCTGCTCCTCTAACTCTGGGTTCAACCTCTCTCTCCCTCTGTCTCCATACGCATCCATGAGTCCGTGAGTCCGTGAGTCCAGCTGAGGGAGTGTTCAGTGTGTTTACAGTGATGTTTTCATGTATCTGTGTGTCTTGCTTATAGCCAGTGTGAACACTGGCCTATTTCAGGAGGAGGAAGACGCTGCACCGCTCCTGTGTGGCTGCTTCAGCTTCTGATCTGCAGATAGCTGCTGTCTTGTTTGTCAGGGATTATCTCTGACACATGAATTATGCAAATAAAGGGAAAACGGCTGCACTAGCTCACTGGACTGTTGTGGTTCAGCATGGATACATATTCCTCTGATTTGCATCTCATTACAGTGGATCCTTAGCAAGTGGGTTACCGTACAGAACTGACATGGCTGTACAACAGAGTGTTCACATCAAATGGCAAATGCACCGTTTGTTCCCTTTTGATGACATTGTGATGTATGTGTTGCGTTTCAGACAAGTTTAATGGAGCAGTTAATTGGTGTGTTTTTCACCTGCAGATGATCCAGAAGGCTCCTTTGTGCCTCCTGAGTTTGACAACACAGGCAGCACGTTTGAGGTGAGAAACTCTGAATCTTCTTACAGATTTTAATCTGATCACAGTTGGACTCTGTCGGTTGCACACAGTCACACAGACGGACACCGTGTCTGTGTTTGCTGAGGGAGAGGAGAGCGTCGCTTGTTCTGTTTCCTCACCTAAGATTCCCCACACAAACCAGCAGTCACTCAGTTACGAGGTCATCTGTCATCTCTGTCATCATGTGATAAAGTGAAATAGGAGGCAGCACTCGAACAGTAAAAGACACAAGGTCATGGCTTAAAGGATAATTCCAGTTTATTACAACACAGCCACTTTATTTGGCACACCTGTACAGTGCTGTGCATTCTACCTTTACGAAGTTTGTAATGTTCCGTTTTTGGTGACACCGTCGGAATGTGTAACTTCAATTCAATTCAATTCAAAATATATTATATTATATTATATATATACTATACTATGTTACGGAGGCAGTCATTAAAGGTAGTGTCGTACTGAACCACATATATTGAGAGGTGTTTCTAACTTTTTGTCTTCTGTATTTACATACATGACGAGGGTAGAATACTAGAAACATCTCTCAATATAATGTGGTTCAGTACGACACTTCCTCTCAACGCTAAAACATGTTTGAATTAACACCTCTCTGACAGTGTCAGAAAACTGAACATTATACACATCATAAAAGATCAGTCGTATTGGATTCCATTCATTTGTACAGGTCTAACTAATGGGTAGACTCTGAGTGTATATATAGCTAAGAGGGGGCATTTTCTTGGGTTTGTTTTATTCATTTTTATCAAGTTTATTGAATATGTGGCACAGTGCTTTCAACTACAAGAGGTGTTAATATAGGAAATGAAACACGAGTCAGTCATTTTAGATCCTATACAACCTGTCTGATCATCTGACTGCTCATGTTTGTCGCCATGTCTGACGTCTTTTAAGAGACTGGCCATATTCCCATTGTTACTGTAACTAATAGAAACAATGGGAATAGCTCCAATTAAGATCCCAGGTTAAATACACCTGAATTATCCTTTAAACATCACCCCTTTGAATCTAATGACAGACTGTCATGATAGTTGTTCATTGGTCTGAGGCTTGAACTCCTTTTAATGGAGCTGTGTATAGACATACATCATAAAACAGAATATACCTGCAGCTCCCGGTACGATCGATGTGTCTGCCTACTGTACATGTATTGGTCTTTCATGCTGCAATTCTTCAACTGGATCTTTTCTCTAGTATAAGTTTCATCATTGTGGGTTTAATGAATCTTCAAATAAATTATTTATGATCTTAAACTATTACTGAGAAGGTCTCTGTTCTGCCCTCTCATTGTTCTCACCATCACATGAATAAATGTACAGTAGACTCAATTCAACTGAATTCCAAAATAAACTTTTCATTCTAATTTTGCTGTCTGTCATAATACACTAAATTCCTGACAAAAAAACAAACATCTCCTTCACTTCTCTGATGTTTTCCCCAAGTGTGTTTTATCTCAAGGGAGGTTTTACACACTGCCAGAGTAAAAGCATAAGCAAAACAGGAGTTAAGGCCAGCTGAGTATTTACTCTTCTATTTTTAGCAAATAAATATGGGTACAGCCCACTTCAGTAGTCGGGAGTGATCGTTACGTCTCGGATTTTAAGTCAAAAGCACCTGGTTCAAATCCGCTGCTGGCAAAGAGCTGACCATAATATCTACTGTCAGTGTAGCAAAGCAAAACAAAAGCTCCATCATAAATACATACAATACATGACAATTACTGCCCAGAATGGTGAGAGGATCCTGTATTTTTTTTATTTAGCCTTTTTCTGCACTCGGTGTATATTCACAGTTGCAGCTGCTTCCTGATGATGATAGTGTTTTTGTCTCCTCCATCCCCGGCTACAGGGCCATGTTTACTCTCTGGGCTCTACGCTTTCTGCTGCACTGAACTTCGTCATTGAGCCGGAGCTAGAGGCAGAACTGGGAGAAGAAATCCAGAAGCTGTTGGAACAGATGCAGGAGGAGAAGCCCGAGGACAGGCCGTTGCTGCAGGTATAAAAACCTTGCTGACTCTTCTCTACTGCTAGAATGATTTATCGATCATGGTTTCACCACCGTGAGACAGGCGTGGAATAATTACAGATTTCACTTGAGCAGCTGTGTTGTCATGATATCCAGATGAAAAGAAGTACAATGTCTGAAGTTACGAGTGTTTAGTTAAGTGTTAAGTTAGGTTCATTTCAATGCTAATGCAAAATTAGCATGATTTGTTTGACCTTTAGGGATTTAAAAAATAGCAACTTCGAGGTAAAATTAGAGAGTAAGACATGAAAAATGAAATAAATGACAACGATAAACAAGAACAGGCATAAAACATGATGAAATAAACACAAAGAGAAATAAATTCATGCTGTTTTAGAGTCGTCTTAACTCAAGGGAGATGGATGGTGATTGCACAGCTGCACGTGTGGTCAGTGTGACACAACAAGTCATAAAACATATCCCAGTACAGTGCTACGTCACCGGGCCTTTACAGTCACAAGTGCAATCACATTGGTCCTTTAGGAGAAATAATTATGTTTACAGTAATTATGACTGTAGCCTTAAAGCATTTTTTTCTCTTATGATTAATTGGCAGTGCATATACTGTAGTCAGTCAGTCAGTGCTCTTGAGCAGCATCAAGTGGAAATGGTGTGTCAGTGCAAATGACAGAAGTCCATTCACTTTCAGTCTGTCACGACTTAAACTTTAACAGCAGGGCAAAACAAAAGTACAATTCTAAATAAGTAATAAAAGATATTTTTGAATTAGTTGATAATGATCATCATAATAGTAATAAAAATAATAAAAAAAAGGATTTATATAAGACCTTTCATTGACAACAGAGCTCAGAAAAGCCTCAGCCACAAAAAATGAAATGAAAAACAAGTTATATTTGTATGAAAAGACGTGATAGATTGGAACTTGACTTGAAAATATGTGAATCAAAAAGAAAGTGTTTTAATAATAACTTTTCCTCACAGAGAAGTTATAAAGAGCTGAAGTCATGATGTTATGTGCAGGCTCTTGGCTTCTGCAACTCTGCGTAATCTCTGATTCAGCAGTTCTTTCATCTGTCTTTTTGGAAAAAAAAAATGCTACATGTTACTGAGGTTTACTTTTACTTTCTTAAAACAAGACAAGTATTGGCAAAAGTAGAACATAAGCATTATGTCTTCTGTGTCTTTCTTGTGGATTGCAAACCTGCAAGTGTAATTCTCCCTCAGGACATCGTGTCTCTGGCTGAAGCTCGGCTGTCTCACACCTCCTCTGCTGCTGTGTGCCGAAAGCTGTCTTCTGTCGGGCGACGGGTGCTTTCCATTGAATCAGTTTCAACATTTCAAGGTCATTTTTATCTCTTTAGTCATGTCACTGACTGGTGTCTGCTGGGTACTAACTGCCGTCTTTGTATATCCACAGATGGGCAGGAAGGCTCCTGGGAGGCAAGATGGCAGCATCCGAAACCCAGATGTCTGCTCAGAAGACTGAGCTCAGATGATAATACCAAAGACCTGTGCAGTGAAAATTCTGTGAAGGCAAATAGTCTGTCCAGGCAGCAGGTATGTGACAGTGTGTAGCTGCAAACATTCTCAGGAAGCTGCTGCTCTGGATGAACAAATAATTGAAGCACAACAGAATGGGAAGCAAACAGTAGTTAGCCTTGCTTGCCCTCCAGTGCTTGCCGACAGCTGTGTATGGGTCTCCCATTTTCAAAATCAAGGATGAAGGTTCAAAGGAAGGGGGTGGGAAAAACATCGCTACAGTGTCACAACAGCTTATACATGGATATTTTCATTATTAAAAAATAAACCAACTTAAATTAGAAACCAGTAATAGTGCTGTTAAGAGGTAAAAATTGTATGTAGAACTCACATCAACCAAACCTTTTAACAACACTCACAATGATAGATGTCTGTCAGCTCTATTTAATGTGACACATGGAATTCCAGGGGGGCTAGAGGCAGTGATATCGCTAACCGAGATCACACAAAATTGGCTCATGCAGGTTGTGGAAAATGACTGTGTGTCTCAAACCAGCAACAGGAAGCATGGGTTAAGAGCAAAGAAGCTCCCCCTTGTAATATTAGCATTATAAAAAAGTAACAGTAGGATGTATACTAACTGCTTTTTACCTGTTTAAGCTCTGAAGTTGCCTCATTCTTGATTTGAGTTACATTTGCATTTTTTAATATGAATATACCAGACACTGAAAATATGCTTATGTCTTATTATTAGATGTCATAATAATAGATGCAGTGCCAGTGGGATTTAGAAGTTTTATCTATCAACATGTAAAGACACCCGTCACACCCTGTCATTGTCTGTTTTTTTTAACAACAAAATGCATGTTTCACACTGAAACTCTAAACTCATATCAAACTGATCACGGCTTTGATCACAGAGCCTAACAAACTTTTGCACTTTTCCTTAAACCGGCTCAAAACAAGCATTAACAGAATGGGCTGCCTTATCTTAAAATCTTCCTCACCAGTTTCTGCGCTAAACTACTCACCGCCTTATTAAAAGCCAGAGTCAGACCTAATCTCTTGTTACTAATGACCAATTTTGCTAATTTTGAAGAGGAGGTTTCTGTCTTTAGATACTGATAATTTTCCACCCATTACTTTTGCCATTTCAAGACATTATAGCACAAAAGCAACTCATGTTAATCTCTCCATTAGCTCTCAGACATTTCAGTTTATTCTCAACGCTGCACGTAACTATGACATTGTTTGGGAACCCGTCTATATAATGTAAATAAGCAGTTGCCTCCTACAGCCCTTGAAATCATAAGAGATAATAAGTTAAAAAAAAGTTGACCAAGGTTCTTTCATTTCTGCTTCACTTTTGCAATTATCTGAACTCTAATCTGTTTTACACCCACTGATGTATGATTAAGAGAAACAAATGACTGAATGCTATAAATGTAATCTGCAGGTGTGTGCGGGCTGGGACTCCTCTCTCTGGGCTGAGGATATGGACAACAGTGAAGGAGACGGCATGATCCTGGCAGACGAGATGGACTGCAGGTCCCACAACAGCTCCCCAGTGAGGAGGCGAGCCCAGCAGAGGCTGAACAGGGTGAGGGGGGCTCTCAACCGCTCCTGCTCTGTCCCGGACTCCAACAACCCCCCCTGTCTCTCCCCTCCACCACACGGAGATATCAGTATACCGGTGTCCGACCTCACTGAGATAGGAGCAGATGAACACTCGAGCTGCAATTCTATGTGGAGTAACAGACTTCAAAGGCTCAACCGGGGCAGGTCGTGTGAAGCTTACCCTCATAGTAGCACTGAGGATTATGTGAACTCAGTTGTGGACAACCAGATGTCACAAGAGAACAAGGATGCTGCAGAGACTTTGTGCAGTGGAGAAACAAAGAGTCAGGAGTGCCACGAAAGTGAATCTGAATGTATCCAGGATTTAGCATCTTCCTGTCAGGACCTGGAAATGGACCAGGACTCTTCTGGGGACCAGCGCTCATCGAACAACAGCCTCTACATTCCTAATAACCACATGACCAAAAGCATGCTGTGCCTGAATGAAGAATCTCAGGATGAGGTTAGCCAGTGCAGTTGCATCTTAGATTTAATCACAGTTATGTCTGGTGCTGTTATAGAAGTCCACAAGAGAACTGGCTGCCTGTCAATAAGAGCAGCTTATGAAAGAGAAAGATTGAAACATGAAGAAGGTCTTTATGGTGGGGATGTAGGTCAGTGCAGAAATAGGAAGAGTTGGATTAAAATAATCTTCAGGTCCGTCTTTTCCACAGCATCTCACACAGTCTTCATCAGCAGATGGAGTTTGCTCCATGTCAACATGTGACCTAAGTATAAAACCGGTAATGTGACAGTTGGTCTTTTGGTAGGGAGACCAAGTTCTGGAAAAAAAAAAGGTAGCAAGTGGGCCTTGTGCTAAGTTTGTCTTCTGTTTCCTCTAACATCTGCCAGGATGTACACAGTATTTACTGAAAGGAGACATACAGGGTGTTAGCTTAATGAAACGTCTGTAACATACTCACTTACACATCTCTTTTTGTCAGAACAGTTACTCAGAACCTTTACATGACTCTTCTGTATGAATGCATTTATTGAGTTACTAGTTGAGTTTGAGACTAAAGTATTCCGTGTCAAGAGACAGAGTAGTCACATAGGTATTCAGCAGTAATAGGCCAAAGCGACACACACACTTCCAAAAGACAAATCATTATTGGACTTGTAACATTTAAAAGTAGATTTCGAAAAATCAGGTAAGGGATCACTTCAGGTTGTGTTAATCAGGCCTCAGACACCGGCTGAAGCTTTTAAGTCTGTCACTCATGTCTTTTTAAGTCTGGATTTGTTCTGTATCTTATATCCAGTGGATCTCTCTAAGAGAGTTACTTACTCGTGGACGGAGGCTGACGGTTAATGAGCTGTGGGCTCTGTGTTATACCTGTCTGTCCTCACTGCAGACCTACATTGACTTTCCAGGTGATTTTACCCACTTCTTGCATGAAACCAGTATTTAAGAACTTAATATTAACCCTTCCTTCAAGCACAGTCCCATATTGTATGAGAGCACACGTTATTTTTATTTATTTATTATCATTTTTCATTTTTGCTGTTCATTTAATAACCAGCTGTTACGATAATGATGGGAGATTCCAGAGGAAAGACAAAAAAGGGAATGAAAAAAATATTCAAATTATGCTGCATGTTTGTCACAATTCTTTGCAGCTGATTTCTTTCTTTTCCATCAGCGTATTTATGCCTTGACACATTGTACGTGGGCTGCGAGGGTGAGGTGCTTTTCTTGAAGCCTAAAAACATAGGTAGGTTTACTTCCGTCCTATGCTGTAGTCTCTGTGGTGCTTTTCTTAATCTTTATTTACAGAATAGATTGCCGAAGTATATGAGGCAACAGTGTCTGGAGGCTTTTGTTGACTTTAATAACTGACATTCAGAATTCTTTGCAGGACCCCTAGATGAATTTTATCTTGCTCCCGAATATCAAGAACATGGCATTGTGACTGAAAAGGTCTGTCTGTCTGAGCTTCTTTCTTGAATTAATTTTCATCAGCCGTTTGCATTGGTTGTAAGGTTTTCTTCTCTCTCCTCTGTTCTGTCTTGGCTCAGGTTTGTGTGTACGGGGTTGCTGCTATTCTCTGGGCCACAGCCAAGTTCAGTTTATCACCCAATCAAAAGCTGGCGATGCCTCGCAAACTGAAGAGACTGCTCCTGGAGATGGCAAAGAGGACACCCATTGAGAGACCTACCATCATTATGGCTAAGAAGGTATTATTATTTCAACATTTTCTTGAAAAGAATGCATTGCTCATTCAATCTACCACTTTGCTTTGGCAATTTTTTACTCTTTCACTTCTGCCAGCCTGATGTATTTATCACCAAGGCTCTCTGTCTGACACTGCATGCTTCACATGTGGCCTCCCATATTATTCCATTTTCTTCTTCAGACGCAAAGCTCTGCTATTTGCAATTCCCCACTGCACCGGCCTGAAATTGATCCTGTGTCATCCCATTACTTTTCTCATTCCAGTGTTCCCACTGATCTCTCAGACTTAAGCAGCCCCATCAACAATATTACTGTTTTCAGCTGCCTGTTCTTAGATATATAGCAGTGGGATTTAAATTTGTAGAAAAAAAAGTGTACAACTAAATTACAAGAGAAAAATGAAAGCTTTACTTTTTGATGAATGTCGATGAATCTTTTTCTCATTGATAATTTTATTACAAAACGGAAACTGGGTTGTGGTGTCTTCAACAATTACCTCTTCCATCAGGATCCCATAACAGGACGTCTTTCTTTAAACAACAGGACAATCATTACCTGCTAAACATCAGCATGTTAGCATTACCACTGTGAGCATGTTAACATGCTGATGTTAGCATTTTGCTCAAAGTGCTAAATACTGCCTAAACACAGCCTCGCAGAGCTGTTAGCATGGCTGTCGGCTAGTCCTGTTAATTGTGTGAGGAAGGACCTGACAATTAATCACTTCCTATAGAAAAATAACTCTTAGAAAAAGATCATTTTGACCCCTAATTATTTTAATTTTCTTCTTATTTCTTTTTATTTGTTTTCTGTTCTGTGTAACATTCTGTTTCATTAACGCTGAGTCATTTTATTTTATTGTTCTGTGTCTGTCTTATTGTAAGAATAATTTGAATTAGTATTGACTTATATGAAAAGTTCTCTATAAATAAACCCTGATTAAATTTTGCGTATCAGTGTGCAAATAACACAACTTCAGAGAGGCATGTACAAACAGGCAAATCCTTTTTGGAAGAAAACCACTTGTAATTTAAATATAGAGAATCCAAGTTGTAAAAGTACCATGTCATTTTTTCAATGAAGGACTCTCCTACAAAAATACTATCATTTACCTTTATTGTTATGCTGTCAGTCATTTCTTTTGAAAGAAGCTGTTAGTTTTAGAAACAATGGGTGTTTTGATTGGTGAATTCATTATGACATTATTGGTGTCTGTGAGTGTTCTGCATTGTTATCATATTGTTTTTATGTGGATCTGTTCCAGAGCTGTCGTGACTACTTATCCCATCAAGGGACAGATGCTGAGACTGTGTGGAACAACCTCATCAGCAGAGTTCACCCGGTAAACCCTCCTTTGTTTTACACCACAGATACAATTAAACCTCTGTGTCTTCATCTTAAATCCCACAATCAGTCAGTTTGTTCTGTCTGTTCGGTCATCCTCTTGTTTTGTCTCACTTCAAAATAGATTGTCTCTCTATTATCATTATTATTATTGTTTTCTTGATTGGTCAGTTATTAGTGAAGAGGCAGGTTTGACAGAAAGGCAGGTTTGTAAGAAAGGTCCGTGGCTGCATTCAAAGCATGGATGTTGCGGTTACGTGACATGTGCTGTAACTACTCGACCCCCACAGTGTTCTCGGTTCTCTACTTATTGTAATGAATCAATTCTATTGTCTTTCAGCCAGTCTCAAAATCCACAGATGCAGAAGATTTGAGTGCAACCGAAACTCATCACAGCTCATGTGAAGAGTCTGAACAAAACAACAGTGGTAGGACAGCTTCGCTTTAGTATGGATGACCCTCATGCAATATAGTTTACCTTGAAATGTGCAATATATTATACACGAAATGTGACAAATATTAAGAAGACCCTTTGACTTGAGATATGTCTTTCTCACAAATGCCATTTCTTTTACGTCTCACATTCCTGACTGAAGGTGAATTCCTTAAAAAAAATCTAAAAGGTATCATGGCTTTTAACTTGGATCACGCCACAGTAGCAGGTGTTCCTAATATTTTACACATTTTGTGTAATTTACAGACGTGCATTGCATGAGACAATATCACTGATATTGTATCTGGCATTTTTGTAACTGTGTGTAGGCTTTGTGCCCATGGCCACTGAGAGCCGACTGGCTCCTGTGCCTGGCCCTGTTCCCCACAGCTATCCAGTCAGCAAGGAACTCCAACTCCCAGAGGCCTTCACTTCCACTGCCACACACTTCACCCCCATCATCCTGACCAATGAAAGGGACTCAGAGGAGGAGAGCCAAAATCTTGGAGCTGCCATTGAAGGGTGCGATTTTATTATCACTGTAATACTGACGCATCTTTTTAAAAAGCAATTTGCAGGATAAAAGTCATAAAATTTAAATGTAATAGTTTGACATTTTGACATTTTTGACAATAGACTTTTTTGCTTTCTTGCTGAGAGTTAGATGTGAAGTGGGTTAGCTTATCTTAGCACAAAGACAGAGTGGGACCAGCAGCCTGGCTCTGTACAGAGCTAAGATAAAACAAATCCACCTTCCCACACCTTTAATGCTCTCTAACCACACCTCCCCATGACTTCACACACACGTGCAAATGACATGAAATAATTTACTGATACAGCTCTTCTAAAACATTTTACTGGACTGAATGTATAGAATTCTGATTATACAAAGAGTCATTATGTTTTTTACTGTTATTTTGTAATGATTGTGTATTGGAAACACCCTCTTTGGACAGGTGTGTATCATGTGATCCTGCAGTACCAAATGAGCCCACTATGCCATATATATATATATATATATATATATATATATAGATAGATAGATAGATAGATAGATAGATAGATAGATAGATGGATAGATATAACAAAACAAATAAGCGTATTCCCAGGAATGTTGAAGAATTTCTAATAAATAAAATGCTTATTAGGGATTGTTTGTTTTACAGGACTGAGGATGGATTCACAAAAATCAGTGAACACATCGAGGAAAGGGATGTTGATTTCACTTCACTCTCTGAGTACCCATATCCTGCACAGACTGAACCCAATCTACACATAGAGGAGTCGCCTGTTAGTCAGGCAATAACTACAACTGCTACAACTTCCAGTGACAAGATACTGGTTAACTCTTCTTCTACACTCCCCGATGTTTCCTGTCTTGAAGTGTCTCTTCCTCCACCATTATCCTCTAACCTTAATGGTTGTGGTGTCTTCAACAATTACCTCTTCCGTCAGGATCCCATAACAGGACGTCTTTCTTTAGTGCCTGTGCAGGTCAGGGCCCCTGAGTCTCTCCTCGGGTTAGATATAAATCTCTCGCTGGTCCCACAGCCTTTGCAAGGACTAATCACAGTTCCAGAGAACGTTGAAGGTCCCTTTATTAACTGTCTGAATGTGCCTGTGAGGCCTGAAGCTCAGGAATATGGCCCACCATCATATTTCAATGGTAGCTCCATCATTTCTAACAGCCACCTGGAGCACAGTGTGCCCAGAACTCACAATGGACAAACAAATCCAGGAATGCAAGGTGAGAACCAGTCTCCCTCAGAGTCCGTCGCCCCCAAAGTCCACCCTGCCTTAAAGGAGGTGATTGACCTGCTGAAGGGAGAGTTTTCACTTAATGGCTATCTGAATAATGGAAGTGAGGACATCGCCATGGGTATGTATCTTTACCGTGCAACATCATTTTATTTTTGCTTCATTTGCTTTACACAACAATCGGGAAAAACTTCATATATGTATACATCATTCAGTGATTCAGCCAGTGGTAATCAAACTAATTCAAAGTTAAGTCTTTGAAAATGCCACCAATTATTTTAAATGTTTTATGTAATGTTTAAATCAAATTTATTTACTAAGCAGTTTTTTAATAAATTATTATGTATCACTTTCTTATCATAATCTTCCTATGAGCCTGATTATGTACATGCAATGCATATGTTCATGCAAAAATAACATGACGAAGACCAACTTCTGCTGCTGAGATCATGTGATTTCCTGTCAACTGTGCAGGTAACTTTTGAAGTGGCTAGCTAAAAGGTATAGACAAAAGACTGAAATAAGTCGGGCGTCGTGTGGCGTAGTGGTCTAAGCAGGCGCACCATGTGTAGAGGCTACAGTCCTCGCTGCAGTCGGCCCTGGTTCGAGTCCCGCATCAGACGACCTTTACTGCATGTCATTCCCCCTCTCTGCCTCCCCATTTCCTGTCTCTCTACTGTCCTGTTGAATAAAGGCATAAAAAGCCTAAAAAAATATACTTAAAAAAAAAAAAGACTGAAATAAATAAAAGTAATGAATGAACAGTTTGAATAGCAAACTTGACCTAAATACTGACAGTTCAAAAAATATTGTAACAACATATACTTTTACCTAATCAACAATGTTAAACAACATCCTGTTTAAAATAAGTTAGTGAACACATTTAGGACATGACAGGTGGTCACGGGTGGTGGTGTTGATAGAGGGTTACTTCAGTTCATCTGAGAGAGGCGAGGAGGAGGACAGCCTGGGTTCACTGGGTCTAAGCAGATTCCAAGACGATCTTCACAAAATTGTTTAATGTTCCACCATGGTTATTTTTAACATGCCTCCTCAGAACATCTAGGAATCATTAAAATAATGTTCTGTGTATCTGGTTGATATTTTGGGCTTTTTACACAATTTTTTTTACACACATACAGCACTCCTCTCTGATAGCGGACTGAGCTGTTGGGATGCCCCTGGGTGGAGAGGAACAGATAAAGCTCTATCTTGTCTCACTGTATCATTGACGTCAGAATATGCCAGTGGATGGCAGAAGTGAACTAGACAGCTGCAGTGTCACAGAGAACAGTCACCCCTATGTCTAAGTGCACAATGTTGCTTTATTACCAGTTAACACCTTCAGTGCAGGCATGTTTGAATAAAACAACAAAGCAATGACCTGCTCCATCACCTTGTCTTCAGTTGTTCAGACATATTCATTTGAAAATCAACTTTTTGTCTCTTCCGAGGGGAGTACATCTTCTCTTTGAAGGACCTCCAGTACCACACGTTCGCCAGTGTTGTGAAGGAGAGGTTCAGTGATGTGTACTGGGAAGAAGACTTGCTGGGTGTTTTACACTGCCTGGTCAACTACAGCCCATCCACACCGTGAGTCGGACTTCAAACACTTGTGTCTTTTTCTTTTTAAATTAACTGCATGTTAAGAAACAAAATATATTTGTCAATTGGTACTAGACAAAGGAAAATAAAGTCATTGTAGCCAGCAGACTGAAATTTCTAGTTGTGCCACCAGCTGTACATCCTCATGATGTGATACAGAAATGAGTACTTCATAATAAGGGGGCACATGCTTCAATAATGTGTAAATAAGGAATAGCTCAATGATTTATCGCATGAATTAATGCAGCATGTATCATGAAGTCATGTTGCTCACTGTTAAGAAATGATACTGACTTTGAGGTAATGTGATAATTGGATCATCAGTTAATGAATGTTAACTACAGTTGCATATTATATGCCACCAAATTAGCTTGAATCCAGTTTTTTTTTCACAGGTTCAAATAATAATTAAAGGTCCGACATTGTATAAAGTGAGATTCCCATGTTTTTTAGGTTGTAAAGCAGTTGTTGGTTCCATATTAATACTGTGAAAGCATCAAAGCGCTCGGTCCACAGAGAAATGCACACAGCCTGCATTCAGAAACTGAGCCTTAAAATGAGCTGTCAGGACTTCCTCCAAATATGTTTGTGATGTCACAATGAAACAGTCACCACCCTCAGCTATGCCTGAGCATGGCCCGCCTGGACCCACCATCCAACCTTGCAGGGTTCGGTTTCTCTGAGTGTTTTACCTGAAGTCTGCTATATTTTTAATCCATCACTCGGAAAACAGTCAGCCAATCAGAAGAGAGACTTAGAGCAGATTTCAATGATTCAATTACCTGTTGTTGCAAGAGCTCCAAAGAGAAGCCTGAGAAAGGAGATGTAAAACTACATTGAGCTGGTTTTTATTACTTAAAACCACAAATATATCTTCTTATGGATCAATGCTTGAAATAAAACCCTGGAAAGTATAAAATATGGGACCTTTAAGTGAAAAAACTAAATTCAAAAATCAATAAACTGTAATTATTGGGCAACCAACACAGGTCTTTCAGAACAGAGTCAGTGCTGTGGAAATGATGTATTTCACACTGTACTTCTACATCAAAATCGACCACCTAACACCTCAACAACACTATTTTTTGCTGTTGTTCCATTATCGTTTCTTGCCACAGTACCACAGCTTCAATGACTGACTCAATCACAGCACAGTTCAAAGACTCTGAAAGAAGTTTTTAATCCTTTAATTAAGTGAGTGTTTTTTCAGGGGGGTGGGTTGTCTGATGAATCAAATCGCCCCAACTGGCCTACATTATGAATTAAAGACATGACCAGAGGTGTCAAAATGATTATCGTGAATCGAGGAAAGAGATCTGTCCACAGCACAACAGCCAGTGCTTCTGTCTAAACAGTAAGATACCCATTCAGATGTTTAATTTATTCTTAAGTGGCTTCTGAAGAACACACACACAGATTGATCTGGTCCTCACATGAACATGACCTCTCCTCCCCTGCACACTCACAGTTCGTATACATGTGCACATCATTACAAAGCATTCAAATGAGCATTAATGCAACATGCGCTTCATAAATAAACGTCCGCCAGCAGCTTAAATGGTCCCTATGGCAACAGCTTTGCAGTATGTGTGTTGAGCAGAATACCTGGCAACACTGGAGATACATGTAAAGCCTCATCTGCTTTGTTACTGATATGCTGACAAGTAGCCCTGGGAGGGGTGGTTGGAAGTGTGTGTGTGTGGGGGGGTGGGGGTGGGGGGGGGTAGGTTGGTGGTGGTGGTGTGGTGGTGGGGGGGAGGGGTGGCTTAAGCGTATGAATGAATACATGAATGAAGGCAGCAAATTCCATGCTTCGCGCTTCTCTCTTCATTTATATGTAAGCCAGAGACGAGCAGAGGGTCGAGCCTGCCATTTCTCCCAGACATCTTTTTATCCAGGCATTGCCATGCTCAGGGCAACATGTGGAGAGAGACATCACAGCTTTGCAGGGAGATAGACACTCTTTCCCTCTGGCTGTGGGCTCATTCATTGGGCTCGGCCATGGAAGGTTATTTTTTTTCCCACTGTTCCAGTTTCAGTGAGGGGATAGAGGGAGGTCTGTAACCTCTCTATTAAGACGTTGGTCCATTCTAACTCTGACATGGACTGGAGTGGACTGTGTTTTGTCTTGGCAAGTGCATCTGATCTGCAAGAAGTTTTATGTGATGTCAACTGTTTTGTTTTTTACCATCAGCATGTGTTTTCTCCAAATTGTTAATTTTCACATATATGCATTTATTGGCATTATTCTTTTAATAAGTGCTAATTGTCCCTACCTAGCTTTGAAATCTGTGTGTGTGTGTGTGTGTGTGTGTGTGTGTGTGTTTGCTCTCTCCTAATGCGCCCCTTGCAGCGGCTCTGATGAGCAGCCTTCTTCAAAGGCTGTGAAAAGGGCAGCTCTCACCCCACCCTTAATAGCAACTGTCTGGAGAGGGAAGGGAGAAGTTTGCCTGCACGGCCATCTTGATCTGAATGGAAACATTCACACTTCCAGTCCTGCTGCTGTGGATTCTTGGGAAGAAACCGAGGCCCGACCCTGTCAAAATGAGACTGCACCTGAAGATTTTGAATTGAGATCGGAGCAGAGTCAGCACTCTGTCAGTGAAGGTAGGAAACTGACTTTTACTTTCATGTTCAATTCTATGCGTGTTTAGACAAAGATCTAGCTCATGGGGTCGGGTTTCATAGCCGGTTAAATTTTGGATCCAATTCCAAGTTTATAAAATACACAGATTTGTTATGATCATAATACAAAATTCTTATGAAATTATTTTAATCTTTCTCCAGCAAAAATCAGTGTAGCAGCAGTGTAGAGCAGGTAATCATTTAGCTGAATTCAAAATATGTGATCTATGTGGCAAAACTAAGTAAATATGCAAAGCTGTCATATAATGAAAATACAGTGCTTTTTACAGCATCGGAAACTACAATAATTCTCTCTGAACTGTAGTAGAGTAGAAGTGTAAAATACCATGAAATGGAAATACATGTTCCACCACTGCTGCAATGAAAACAATACTTTTTTGACTAAGAAGTGTCCTCCTCAAATATACTACCTAAATAGATTCAATAAAGGGTTTTAGATTCAATACTGGTTGCAAAAAAAAAAGGTGGTTTGAAGCCCAACCCCCCCGTGATACTTTATATTTCTCTTTATTTGGCTGCTGACTGAAGTCATGAGAGTTGTGAGTGGCTGTTGGATGCTGTTCTTAAGATTGTAGCACATTGAGAGGAGTCCAAGGCTGAAGGCGAGCAAACGCTGAAGATTTCTTTTCCTCTGGAGCTCATTCCTGGCCAGTGACATTCACACACACACACACACACACACACACACACACACACACACACACACACACACACACACACACACACACACGCAAGCCCTTACATCTGCATCGGTTGTGCTATTAAAGTATGCTAGACATGGGATCTTGATTACAAACAACTTGGTTACTAGATATTGGAGATAAAAAGATAGTGATAGAACAAGTTGAGCTTGAACTGCCTTTAAGTTCATCTGTTAACAGTGGCTGCATTGTGCAGCTATGACAGGGTTAGCAACAAATACCCCCAGCACCCGTCTTGGATCTCTCTCTCTGTGTTTTCTTCACAAATCCAGTTTGTTTTTTTTGCCTTCCATGTGATTCAGTCCCTCTCTTCTCCCCCCCCGGCCCCCCCCCCACCCACTCTCTCTGCTGTCCCTGTTTACTGGTCGAGGTGTGAGCATGGACTGTTCAGACACAGGGGTCATGGAGGGAGGAGATCATTCAGTGGGGGGCAGCGATGAAAGCCCCTCTGAAGCCGAGTTTGTGTCGGGGAGAGAGGAAGGGCTGCCGGGAGCCCCGGACGAGCAGATGAGCCCTGACTGCTCGGAGGACATGGAGGACAGCGACTCCCTGGCGTCAGAGCGACTCCTCTCGCCTGGATCCAGAGCAGAGGGACCGGGCCTCAGCTTAAGCCCAGTGTGGGCCTCTGCCTTTTTTGGAGAAGACTGTTTTAGTCCAGAGGTGATACAGTACGCGGTGAATCTGGGACAGCACACGGGATCACCATGTCTAGATGTGAAAACGCAGGTAGGTGAACCTGTGAAGGCTTCTGCCGGTGACTCATGTCTGACCTTCACCCTGTGTCTTTGAACAAACAGCAGACTGTGTGAAGCGGCTGATTTATAGATGAGATTCTATTACATTAACACAATGAAATGTATATCACAGAGCATGTATTTTACATGTACTGCATGTTGCAATAATAGGTTGTGAATAGAGTTGTGTATATTGACAAAAAGCTGATATTCTATCAGGTGTTGATGGTTTTTAAACAAAGACAGAGCCGGTTTTCATTTTTAAAAATTAGACTCTTGATTCTTTATAGATTTTATCCTTTATTATGTTACATCCAAGTGCTTGTTGCACCCAGTTTAGCTTCAGCAGCTCTTCACTAGGTCGAGTTTTATGAACAAGTACAGGAATTATTTTCTTAACTGTAATGAAGTGGGGCACGGTCAGGCTTTGGGGTAAATAGGACGAGAACATGTTGGGGACTTTAGGATAATTGGCATATTATTCTCTCCAAACTGGATCTGAATATTAATATGTTGAACTTGGCCCTTGGCAGAGGAAGTTATTATCATTTGCAAAAGAATATTAATGAATCATCTTTGTGTTTGCACACTTTGATGGCACCACTGTTCCTTCAGAGGGTTCGTGTAACAGCTAATAACACACCTTAAGAGCCGAGCTGCTGCGACTTCTTACTCATTTCACTTCAAAAGAGCTGTTGTGTTCTGTTGCCACGGTGAAGAGGGAGGAGAAGGGAAAAAAATGAAGACTCTGCTCCATACACACTGGAAACACCTAAAGGCAGTGAAAGGCATGTGCTGTTATTTTAGGGCCTTTGTTTGATTTTGTGTGATTTCCTTTGAACAGGAACTGCAGCAGCAGCTGATAATTGAAACAAGGAATCTAAAGAAAACGAGAAATTTCTACCAGAAGCTGATTCAACAAGAGAGGAAAAATAAAGGTTGGGTGCCCATTTCATTACGCTGCTGGTGTATGAAAACAGCAAGCTGCCATTATGATCTATAAAACTGTGTATGTACTGTATCCCAAAGGTTCTGAGAGCAAACTGATGCTGTCTAAACTCAAGTCCCAGCTTGAGGAACTCAGATCCAAAGTGGGCTTCTTGGATTGTGTGAAGAAATACCTTGAGGTACTGTCAAAGAGATACAATTCCCAACACTGATGTTTTTCATGCATCTCCCAACAATCTTTTTCTTCTAACCTTTGATATCATGTCATTTACTTCTGCAGATTCTGAGTGTGGATCAGTGGGGGTTGGAGGTTTCATTACTACCTTCTTTGGCTGTCGCTGGACCTGGATCATTGGACCTCCAATCCTCTGAAGACCCGTCTGTTCTGAACTTTGGCACCAGCAAAGGGAAGAGCAGTCTGCAGGCTGGCTCTTCTCTGGGCCTCATGGCTTACCTCTACACAAGGTATTATTGATCAGGGTTTAGATTTGAAATTCTAGTCAAGTCATGAGGTTGTAGGACTTGTGATATTGTTTCAAAGTTTAAGGCAGCCCTTGTGATCCGAGTTCTGTGCTCAATTATTTACTCTCCCTGCTGCTTTTGATGCGTCCAACCAAGGGATTCCACAAGGACTCGGGTCAGAAAATTACCAGGTTACAGTAAGAAACTGAAGAAGATCCTTGATCTTACTGTTTGTACAACAGACATGCTTTTCATAAAATAAGGCTAAAATATCTCAACAACTATTTGATATATGGCTGTGGAATTTTGTACAGCTCTGTTCATGTCCCCAGAGGATTAGTCATACTGACCTTGGCAGTGGCACCCTACCTGTGGTCCTCTGGTGTGCCGTGAAGTCATTGCAAGTGGGCCAACAAATTATTAGTGGAACTGTAAAATTTTGGTGAAAAATATAATAAAAAAAACCTTTTTAAATAATGTTTTTTAATGTTTTAAAAATGAAATTATCTTTCTAACATGTTTCAAAACAATAATAGGAACTTTTATGTTGTCTCCACTCTCCAACTATATCACTTTGCCACCAGACTAAATTGTGCACTTGCTCTGTCTGATTGCACACACGGAAGAAATTAAAAGAAAGAGAGTTAAGAGACAGATGGTCAGTCAACATGTGAACACCCCCCCGCCCCCCCTCCCAACACAGACGTTATACCTCAGCATGTTAACATTGGTAATTGTTTAAATTGTTACTAGGAGTATATTAGCATGCTGACATTAGCAGTTAGCTTAAAACACTGCTCTGCCAAAGCACAGCCATTCAGAGCTGCGGGCTCGGCTGTAGAGTCTTGTTGTCGTGTTGATAACTGTTGAAGGAAAGAGCTGGCGTTCATCTGTATTCTTTTCAATGTCACGAAATCTCATGAAAAGACACAATATGTCAGTCTGTCTCTCACTACTTTCTGACCTGACCTCCCCGCTCCTGCAGCAATACCCTCATTCATTTGTAGTGAAGATATGAATCTTTAAAAACGACTAAAGTCAGAAATATTTTATTTTTTTATCAAACGGGTAAATGGTGCATTTGTTTGGGACTCTTTTCACCTGTGGATTAATACACTATGCCCTAGTGAGTATTAACAGCTGCTAGTTGATGTATGTGGGACTGACTCAAAATAGATTAGTGTCCATGTTTGTGTTAATTCAGGAACGTGTCACCCTGTGCAACAGTGTGGCTCACTGATGTGTTTTTAATCATTTTTGGACAACAATGGAGCTCTATGGGACAGAGGAATAAGATCTATCAGGCTTTGGAATCATATTAGTGGACTATACATAATAGTAGGATCAGTTCATAGTTGCTTTTTGCCTTTTCATAGGATTTGTTGACAGTATCAAATACATTTGTGCTTTAGTTCTTTTCTCTCGCTCTGTTGCTCACCCACACGTTTTCGATTAGTCATGTAATTGGTTACATAAATTTTGTCAGTATCACTAGAAGTCCATCCTTAATTCTAATCTGATCTGTAAACCATGACACTATCACTGCTGCTTTGAAGTTTGACATTATAGCATTTGCTTTGTATCTGTTGCTATGAGAAACAGCATCAGCATTTAGAAAAACAAGGTCACAATCCATAAATTCTTTATCCCCTTTTAGTTTCCACTGCCTCAAGCTGAAGCTGTTTTTCCACCTCTAACAGCTCTGATAAGACTTGTTTTCAGTTTATACCCTCACAAGGGCTTAAACATTTCAGTAAATATATTAGCATTGAAGAACCAGTTACTTCAACTACATACCTGTTATTTTTTTGTGACTGTATCTTGCAGGTTGTGACACTATCATGTTGACAAAATCTGTCCAAAGACAGACAGACATATAAACACCTGTCAAAATACTCAAAAGCACTCCTGTGGTAGTTCCCATTACAGTAGGCGTCGGCTGTTATTACAGTGTTCTCACGGCATCTTGGCAAATGATTTACTTGAAAATTACTTTTTTTTGTCCAAGATTGCCCAAAGATTTGCCCAATGTGCAAGCTTACCATCCCCTCTTGGTGGTATATATATACTGTATATATATATATATATATATATAGCTTGTGAATACTCAGGGCTGAAAATGTTGACCCAGCTCCTCAACAAAAAAAATCGTTTAGCTGTTTTTATTTTCAGATATTTCTCCTAAAAAGTCATATAGGGGATTTTCATAAATTCCCATTTGTCTGCCAGCTCACATGAGACACACCACCATGATGCTGTGATTTGGGAGAGCTTTTTGTATGACGTCACCGCTCCCTCTCACTGAAAAGAGGCATTTAAAGTGATTTAGGGCACCTAATAATGATGCCCCCTGGAAACTCTTTAAAATGTTCTGGGCGTAACTAAGTGGGAGGAGACCCTGGGCCAGACATAGAACATATGTAGGGAGTACATCTCCCACATGGTCTGAGAGTGCTTGAAGGGGTTCCCCGGAAGGAGTTGAAGGAGTTTTGGATCCCACTGTCTGCTGCCAACAATAAGGTTAATCAGGATAAGGAACTGGATAGAAAAGATGATCAAGTTTAACTTGACTAACTCGCTGCTAATCCAAAGATGGGCAAAGAGGTGGGATGTACGTGGGGTCGAGACTTCAGTGAATGCCGGTGTGTGGCAAGCATACATTCACCCACCTGTCACTCAAAGCAGAACACCTTCAATTATGGATAACTTTAATCCTTAATATATTGAAACGAGTGAGTTATATAAAAATTCACCCACTGTACAGTTGTCGTGAAGGAGAAAATGAGTTATAGAGACAAACCATTTTTTGTACCAGGCTGTAAACATGTTTATTTCTGCTATAAAGTTGGACATTTGAACATGGGAGTCTCTGGGGATTGACTCGCTTTTGGAGCCAGACTCTATTGGCCTTTCAAAGAACTGCAGCTTTCGGCGCTTCACATGTTGGCTTTATTTTTCAACCCTGAAGGTCGGCGCTTGTGTTATTATATTCTTTAATTGTCTGTTGTAGACTTAGTCATATTTTTCACTGAACAGTGTTAATAAACTGTGTTTCTTTCTGAACTTAATTCCATGTCATTGTGTTCATTGTCATCACAGAAATGCTGCCATGGAGGGCTATATCCAGCAGTTCCTGTATACCTATCGTTTCTTCTGCACTCCTGAGCAGTTACTGCAGTTCATAATGGATAAATTTGTCAGTGCAGCAAGGTAGAGTATATCAAGTAGCTCATGATTACATAGAGAAACAGTGTAGTGCGGTAAAGTAGGCCCCAGTTGGCAGAAAAACCCATATCTCTAGTCCAGCCTCTCCTCTAAGCTATAAAACATAATGCTTTATAGCACACAGTATGAAACACTGTCCATTAATTGTGTGACAAAATTGTTTTCTGTTCCAGAGAAGGTCCAGACATGTCAGGAGACAGTGAGAAGATCTTCCATCGTAGTTTGGACGTGCTCCAGTTCTGGATAACAGACTGTAAACAGGTGGACTTCACACCCAAGTCCAACCTTGTGGATACATTAGAAAACTTCCTTAATACTGAGGTACATAACCTCCTAGCAACTATAATAATACTGCTTATATTATAATAGCAGGGCTGTATTAAAACATGCAATATTTTTAGCCTGCAGTTCCTCAAGGTTACCGTACTTCTCGTTGCCTGTTGCTGCTCATGCTAACGACCCACTTCATTTTCTTAAACTTGCAAATAGAAATGACTATCAGACACCATGAGGTTCGACAGCAGACACAATTCAATTCAAGTCATTTGTCTTATTAGATGACAGCATAACAAAAGGGATCGAAAAAATGTGTTATAACTCTAAAATGTGAGTCTAAATGATCTATTTAAAGGTGATGGAGCTTTTTTGTTTTGGTACATTTGTTTGTTTTCTGTTTCTTTGTTTTTTCCACAGGTGATTCCTGTCGACAGCCGAGGGGAGGCCCTTCTTGCTGCTCTCCGCAGCCCCCCAAGTACAAGGTGGAGTCAAGGAAGAGATAGCCTTATCAGCATAGAGGACGACGATGACTCTGTGTGCTTGTATTCGTCCACTGAGGATCTCGGCAGAAAGGTAAGTGCATTATAATAACAAGTTACACCATTTGGTTTTGTTTCCTGTTGATTAGTTCAAGTGAGTCTGGACTTTTATTTATACTGTGTGAGCAAGAAAACGATTTGCACTTTCTGCATGCAGATATTTCCCGCCTAAGCGAAACATTTTAAGGGAAATCAGAGAACAAGTTCAGTTGCTGCGTATTCTTTGTGTATAATTTGAATTTTGATTGCTTCTACTGAGTCTACTATCTCACCGTTTTGCAAGAGTACCTTCATGAAACACATCTTCTCTCCAAACTTTTCAGTGGAGGATTTCAAGAGTGGTGGAGCCCTCTGCGTCCATGCCTAAAGACAAAGCCTTCTCCATTGCTGCAGCTCTGCCTATGCCTTGCTATCCCTCCCTGGTCGATGACCTCTCCAGTGTCTGCCTGCACAGTGAGGAGCGACTCCCGTTCAGCAAGAATGAATACAGCGCACAGCACGTAGCCCAACAGCTCACACTCCTGCAGCAGGTACACACATCCTCCATGCATTCAATCCACCACCGTCGTCGTTGTCTCGTTTAACCACTAGAGGGAGACATGTCTCTATGAATGCCCAGAAAGGCTCTAATTCATAAACTTGTGATTTACCTTTTGTAATGCAGGAAATGTTCCAGGAATGTCATCCAGTTCATTTCCTCAACTCCAGAGTCCACGGAGTCGGGGACAAAGTCTCCATCCCAAACAAGTGAGTATAATGTTCGAGCTTAAACACCGTCTACAGTCTTCATATAGGATACAGATGGGTGGCAAATGAAAAGGAAAAACTAACATAGGCCCTGTTCAGACCTGATGCGTCTTGGGTGAGATGATCACAAGTGGACAACTCTAAGAACAGGTGTGAACGCACCCATGATACACTGAAGATGCATTCGAGATCCAGTCATTAAGACCACATTCGGAGGTGGTCTGGGCCAGTTTCATAATGAACTGAAAATATTCTACTTTTTCCAAATGGATTAAACCTAATTTCATTGTAGAGCTGTGAGCAGAGCAATGATTCGCTCAGCCCCTCTTCAGCCTGCTCTCCCTCCCTCTCTCTCTCTCTCTCTCTCTCTCTCTCTCTCTCTCTCTCTCTCTCTCTCAGACACACCCACACACACATTGACAACAGACCCAACAGGCTGCTTAAAAACGACAACTCATACCTGTTTTTTTGCATACAGATCAGGGAAGTGAGATCCCATCACAAGTGGGCACTTGAGTAGCAGGTAGGGGTGCATTCTAATGCCAGGTGTGAAGTGACATACTTAGAGCTGTCCACTTGTGAAGAGATCACCCGAGATGAATGTTAATGCCGGATCTGGACAGGGCCATAGTGTCTTGAGCCCCTTTTACACAGCCTGTTTAAGGCGGGAATGTTGGAACTATATTCCGCCTAGTCGTTCTGCATGAACTGTACCATCACAGAATGAGGGGACATTGTTATTGTTATTGTTGTTCCAGCAATAAAGCAGGCATAATGAGGGGTACTCTTAATGGCAATACAGCAGGATCTCTGTTTAAACAGGGTTTTAGTGAGGTGCTGAGCCACCACATGCTTCCAGTTTCAGTTTCAGTGCTGCTCAGCATAGATCATAAGTCTGTGTAAAAAAAAAATATTTCGCCTCCTTCTGTGTTCTGATATTTGTGGTAGGGAGTCTTGACATGTTGATCCAAAGTCTCCCACAGTGGTTCAGCTCGGTTGAGATTTGGTGACTGTGATAGCCATAGCACTGATTGATGATTCTCATCATTTGAAATAACCATCACACATTCAGTGGCCCCTTGTGATCTATATGGAAACATGATAACAGATTTGTTCAACGACCCCACCCATCTGTACCTAGAGAGTCTACTTTTCATATTAAATTACTTCATCGTAATCTCCTTCTGAACAGTAGGCTATGTGAGTTCCTGTTGACTTAGTAACATGTATGTCATACATAATATAGGGATACTATACATAATATACGGATATTATGTTTGTGCAGCAGCATCTACAAGACAGTTAAATGTTTGTCGGTGGTCAAATCTGGCCTTCCAACAAAAATATTTACCACCCGATGAAAGCTCGGGTTTTCTTCTGTAGATGTAGATGTACAAAACTCATGTAAACTTCAGTAAATATGATTTAAGATTTGTTTAGATTACGATTTTGGCCTCCAACGACTATAAAAACAAGATAATCGAGAGAAAACGATTATTGTGCTGCATTCTGTTTTCACAACCAATGTCACCCCCCCTACAAAAACCATCCGACGTTATGGGTTCCGCCCTCGGTACTGAAGGAATTGGGAAATTGATAGAAGTTTTCTTCCACATTCACCAACTCCGTTTCTATATCCCATGCTCAGATGTCTTTTTCTTATTTCGTGTATAACGGAAATAACTACATAGACACAATGCTTTTTGTTTTGTAATTCGTTTTTTTTTTTTAAATTCAGTTTTTTTTCCAAAGTCAGTGACCAATCGTGTTGAATAATTGTGATGTCAATATTAACCAAAAAATCGTGATTATTATTTTTGCCATAATCCAGCAGCAGTCCTTAAGATTTGTTCCCCCTACATGTAGAGAGATGTACACTGTGCCGGGCTGTTAGAACAGCGCCTGTGTCTGTAATGAAGTCTAATAACCTTAACAGATAGATAAAAAAGTATTAAAATCAACAAGTACAAGAACAAACAGTTTTAATTCCACAGCTTTAGCCTATTTGACCGTAACTGATTTGTGTAATTCACAATCAAAGCAGCTTGACATTTTTTTCTAAAGCAACTTTTTAAGTTTGGTTTTATTGACTTTCCACCAGGATAATCCCCTCACTATCAACACAACAACAACAACAGTCCCCTTCATACTAGCATGAATGAAGCAGGCCACGGCGTGTTGGGTGCGGATAATCTTATCATAGTGCAGCACAAGTCATGCATTTGTGTTTGAGTCCTTTTTGATAAACAAGTATTAATGTAAGATGTTGTAACTCTAGTAGCTCAAACTTACTAACGGGAACAGAGTCGTCTGCTCTCGCATGGGAACTTAAAACAGTTTTATTTTGAAAAGAATTAAAGGAAAGGAAAAAAACAATACAATGAAAACATATATTTTCAAACTGGCCCCTGGCTAAACCTATTTGCTGACCCCTGACGCATGTATACAGGAAGTTTATATGTATATATCCACTGATAGTATGATTCTCTCACTGTATGTGGAAAATTATGTTTCTGGTAGGAGTGCTTCTAATTATAATTTTCATTATCATTGTCATGTGGTCATGAAAGCAATGTCAGCAAACAATGAAGACTTTCATTACAGTTTACTGGAGCCCAAGGTGACTGGCTCCAATAGCTTGTTTTGTGTGGCCAAGAGAAAAGAGCAAAGAAGCACACCTCACATTTTCAGAATCTGCAACCAGATTTCTTTTTGATAAATGACTAAAAAATGACGTAATTATCAAAGTTTCTGTCAGTACATCTTCTTGAAACCGAACAGTCAAGTTATTATTGTTTTTATTGTGATTTTATAGTATAGATGTCTCTTCATCTCCCTCACCAGGAATGTGTCCCAGAACGTGCCGCCAGCAGAGGGCAGCGGTCTGCTCATGTGTGAGGGGACGCTGTCAGACAGCCAGCTCCAGCGGCTGCTCACATATGCTGACAGCGTCACTAACTGGATCTCCTCTGAAATAGTCATCTGTGACTCCACCAAGGTGAGAGGAGACAGAACTCATGAAAGTAACAGGGTCGGCAGGAGCCATTACAGACACAGCATGGGCTTTGTGATCTTATCAAACACGGATTCTCATGTCAGACACTGACCTCCTCTCATGTGCGCTCTGATTCCTCTCTGGTCTCATGGTTGAATGGGTTATAGAGAGTTAGAAACTCTATGAAAAATATTATTACGGATGTTTTTTTTTTTTTTTTCCTTCAGCTACTTCCTGATACTTTCATATAGACACTCCATTCAATCTATAAAATGCTCAGCTCATTTGCATCCATTCAAATTTGTCACATCTTTCACACTTAAATGACAGCTCACATTAAACTACATCTGCTGCTTCAACTTCAGCTTAAAATTGCGGTTACTTTTTATTTGCTTTTCAGTTGACATTTCGCCTGCTTTCACCTCGTCCTCTTTAAAAGACATTTCAACCCGCTGTCGTCTTTCACTCGTCAGCTGACAGTTCAACTGCTTTCAGTGTTTGAAATTGAAATGTTCACCTGCTTTTTAACTTCAATTTAGCCTTTTCTAGTCAAACGGAAAAATAATCAGCAGTAGCAGTAATGAAAATGTAGAACAGTCGACAAGGCACTATTAATATAGACTATACATAGTATTTTTCCAGTGGACGTGCTTCATTATGCAGTCTGCTGTGGTCCCAAGAAAAGCACACCAGCGTAAAGAGCTAGCAGGTTTTTGCATTTTGCCCTGTTTAGCATTTTTTCTCATTGCAAACTCTTTTTTTTTTTTTTTTTTTTTTTTTGCAGACACAAGTTGCTTTGCTGACCAAGTACCTGTGGATAGGAAAACACTGCTATGAATCAAGGAACTTTGCCACAGCCATGCAGGTCCTCCGAGGTCTGGAGAACGTGACTGTCAAGCAATTACCAGTGAGGCTGCATCTCATAAATTACTCTTCAAACAGATTCTGAGTTTGTGTAATAAGTCAGGTGCCCTCGAGCTAAATGTTTTCTTCAGCTGTGATAGGAGTTGGTTGGTGTTTAATTAGTTTCTCAAATGAGAAATTAGCATTAATGCATTCAAATGTGATGTAGAAAGTGAGGAGGAATGTGGCCCACGAAAAGGAGTAATTAAAAACCTAACAATTAAAAGACACCACTGGTTGAGACAATGCAAAAAATTTCCATATTTTAATCTAAAGGCAGGTTATAGTCATTGACTCTGGTGTTGCACTGAAGCCACGGTTTAATTCGTCTTCATTTTGGAGCTACTAAATAAAACTTCCTCATCTCTTGCCAACAGGCTTGGAAACATCTGTCTTCCAAGGTGTTTGAGATCCTGGAGGAGCTGCGAGCTGTGCAGGTGTGTGTGCGTAGGTGTGTTTGAGCAGGCGCACGCTTATGCTGTTTGTAACTGAAGCCTAGGCTGGTCACATATTGTGAAACTGGGCTGCAGGGCAAACAGATCAATAGAAAAACAGCTTCAAGCAACCCGCCTGTGTGCTGAAAGCTTACAGCTGGCTCTGCTTCTGAAAGTTATTCTCAAAAGATCCTGATGCATCAAACAACAGACATTGCTATCTTCCCAGCTCCACTATTTAGATGTAATGAAAACAAACTGTATGCTCTCTTGGTTTTCATATGTAAAGAGGTTAAATTTGTTGAAAATCCTCACAGGTTTTTCACTCATGTTACACATGCTTTTGACTTAATTGGAAATTTTCTCTTCCAGTAAGAAGTCATTTATTTACTGTGCGGCTAAACTGCTCTCTCCTCAGGTGTTCCTGAAGAGCGACGACCTGTGTCTGATGGGGGCAGAGCACTCGAGGAGGAGGCCCACCCTGCCGTCATCGCACATCCTGGCCATGCACGTCCAGCAGCTGGAGATCGGGGCCTTCACGCTCACGACCGGAGCCTACAAGTGGACCAAGCTCAGGTGAGGAGAAAATCCAGATCATTTCTAGATCTGTAATAAGCTGTTGTTGACTTGATGTGGGCGCCCATTTTTTTTTTTTTTTGGTGTTTCCCGTTCCCGCCCTTGTCTTTTAACCTCTGGCTGCTGTTGCCAAATGTTTCAGCCGTGATGGGTTCACACTGTAAACACCACAAAGTTGGGAACACACGTCCACATTCCTGCGTTCACCTGACGCCACCGCAGCTACAGCAGATATCAGATTAAAACGCCATCCTTGACACAGTTACCAATGATGTTAGTTGGCTATCTTTGTCTTGTAGGACCATTTAAATGTTTCTATGATGAAAAAAAAAACAGCAGCAGCATGATCACCATATTCAGTTAATGTGACTTGTAATCTCACTGTAGCCCCTCTGGCTAAAGTATCACTAAACTAGATGTTTTTTGCTTTGTTGGTTTGATTATTCCAAATTATATTATTGATGATATAATAATCGTTAAAAGTCTAATTATGAGTATTTATTAATTGATTAATTTATGACAGATCCTCTCTAGACTTGTTGTAAGACATATGAAACTGCTTTGCTTTGAATAGAAATTTGTCTGATTTGGTTTTCATCGACAAAAAACACATAAAAACTCCCTCATTGAAAAATCGACAATCTATAATCTATGCAAATATTTTTCAGTGCAAAGTATGCTAGAGACGAGATGTCTGTACTTCACTACATAGAAATTTGTTGTGACATCACAAAATCCTGCTGTTATGCTTATGAACACATTATTGGGTGGAGGAGGATTTTAATTAATGATGAAAATTGGAATAATCAGCTCAATACATACTTAGTCCAACTCATGGAAAACTAGACCATTGTTTAACTTGATGGTATGAAAATAAGTCTTCCCTCAACCAAGTGTAGAAAATCTTTTACTTCCACAATAAAGTTGAAGAGGTTCATATGAAAATCCTGCTTACTGTAATAGTCTAAATAAGTCTCCACCCTGCGGTCTGTTTTGGATGAAGAAATACTGTTAATTAGCTCACATGGCATACAGTTAAATATATACAAACATTAGAAAAACAAAAATACCAATGCATACTGACCTGTCACCGTGACTATTATAACAGTAATACTTTTATTTGGTCCCTCATTTAAACCGGTACTTCTCACTGTGATCAAAGTTTCTTTTCCAGGAGAGACCAGTGTACAATAAAACACGTACAGAATGAGCACTGACAAAATGCACATTTACATGCGCACAAACCAATGGTTACACATTAATAAAAACTGAGAATGTTTTAAAAAATAGAAAGACTGATCCATTTTTGAGGGGCACAACCAGATAACCAGTGTTTCTGTTCTGCTTTGAACATGTGGTACAAAGTGAAAAGAATCCTGTTACTTGACATAACTGGATTTAGATGTGAGAGTTTTTTTAGACGAGCTTAAATAATACAGTGCAACATGTCTAGCTGATGACATGTTGCACTGTATTTCACCCGCACAGGAACGGGTCTGTGTGGGTGAAATGGTCTAATTAGCGCTGTGACATCTTTTAATAGCAACTGATATGTTCATAAAACTGCCAGAAAAGAAAGTCTGAGTTTCTTCCTGACCCGACACAACTTAACGCTGTAAGTTATGTTGTGGAACTGGTCGGATCTTTGGTCACAAGCGTCAGATGTCCTCCCACACAATGCAAAACATCCCTATTTAAGGGGCAGACAGGAAGTTAAAAGACAAAATACTGTATCTCAGTGGAGTTCTTCCTTGTTGTTGAGTAACATAGAGGGAATAGACGCCCCGTTTCTTCAAAATATCTCTGCGGCTAAAAGCCCGGTCCTCCCTTCCTCCGTCTCTGCAACTTATGATATAACTGCGAGCTGGAATTTGCACTAATTATGTTAGAGGTGGGATGTTAGTGAAAGTCGCGCACAGCCAGTGAAATTAGCCTGTTATCTATCCTTGTAGTGACACAAAATATGAACAGTTAGTGCCATTAACTGAAAATTAGCTCTCTCCCCACATATTGAGTATCCATCTATGACAAAGTCGGCCAACTCGCATTTTCCTGTGTCCTTCTCCTTCAATCCAATATGGCTGACCAGATGCTGAGGTCACAACAAGTGGCGGTTGGATGGTAATGGCACAGCTGCTGAATTTGGGTTGTTGGTAGGGGTGCCAGTGTTGCACCAGATGGCGCCCGTGGGATGGGGTTTGATTGGAAAAGAGGTTTTGGGCCAGATGCTGAGAGGAGGCTGGGTGAAGCCAGATGCTGGGGTCAGGAGATCTAGCGGGGAACGGCAGAGACACAGCTGTTGAGTGTGGACCCCGGGTTATCCCCGCTCGCTCCAAATCAGGTCACAGACAAAAGCTGATGATGGTGCTAAGAAGAAAGAATATGCAGCCAGACATATTTTCTTTTCATGTTTTCACTTTAAACTCTTGTTCTTTTGCTTCATTTGTCTCATCCATCCATTCATATCTGGGTCTAGGCGCATCGCAAAGGTTGTGAGTCAGGTCCACGCCTTCCAGGAGGCAGTGTACTCCTACAGCCCGGACCGGGATCTGCAGGCCTACCTTCAGCGCCGCATCGCCCGGCTGGCCACCTCTGACATCCACCTTCTGGCCTCGGACAAGGATGCCAACTTCCAGCATTCCAGCGAGCGACAAACGCGGAGAATCCAGGACACGCTGAGGAGGGTAAAGGCCACCTTCCAGTGAGCCGTGCCCCGGTCGCATATCATAGCCCTGGAGTAAGTCACCACCAACAGGTCAAGGCCCAACCCTCAGATGCCTCTGTTGTCGTGGCAACAGAGCCTAGTAGACTGGAAAACATTTTCCGCTGTCGTATGTTCATTTTGTTCCCTAACTTCAGTCGGTAAAATCAGTTTAACTTTATTTATAACTCACACCCTTTAGATTACACAGGTTCTGCTGTTGGTCACACATCTGTTTGGTTTTGATATTCAACATCTTTCTTCACAAAGATAAAAATAATGGCTGATGTTTGTAATTTGCAGTATTTCTCCCTCAGCTCATATACTGACATTTGTTATCTGACCATGTAATTTAGCTGTTAAGGCCTCCATGTAATCACATGTGGACTGAACATGGCAGGAATAGGGAATATATTTCAAAAAATACAGGCTGGCAAAGTGGGCAACTGCACCAGGGCCTGAGAACCCCAGGAGCCCCTGACAGCCACAAGCTCGCTGTGTAGCAGCTGCAGTAATATGATCAACTGGGACTTAATTTAGGAATATGCACCATTAAAGCACAAGATAACTGACATGATGAGGGCAATAAGGTGGAATCCTCCTTTATTAGCCAAACTGGGAATGACAGTGTTAGTCTGTCAGCCTGTCAGTCCTTTATTTTATTATTCATTTATTTTTTGCAGTTAAATTTAAGTTTTTCCCGCCACTGTCAGATCGTCAGATGATGTTTAGTTTGCTCAACACAGATTAAATTTTCAGGTAAACTTTGTCATCTCAAATTCCCTCTGGATGTTGTCTTCAACAAGAAGCCTGGACTTTGTCACCGGTCCATGGTTTGTAAAATGTCTGTCAATGAACTAACAGCTAAAACAGTGTTTTCACACTTGCAGGTTCCTGCAGTGGAAGGGCTATATAGTGCTATAGAGAGAGGTGAGACACAATCATCATTAAACTATAGGGTAACAGTTCACACCTTCAGTCGCTCCAGGAGGACATAAAGTTGCACTCTGTTGTGACAGATGTAGTTGTGCATCAAAAAAAAAAAAAAAGGAGGTTAAGTTCAAACACAGGACAACAACTGCAAGAAATGGGCACCAATGTTGGATTGTCAGACACAGCCCCCCCTCTCCCCCACTTCTGACGTTGCACACGTGCGGCGGGAAGGATTCCAAAGCTATTCAGTATAGTATACTGGCGCCTTGTTAGCTAATCTAAAGGGCTGTGTCTTATGGTCTTGCGCAAAGATCTAATTTTCAGACCTCCTTCATTTCAGCTGATATTGTACGTAGAAGGTGCATATTCCTGAATTAGATCATATTCAATGAACTCATCACACAGCAAACTGGGGGGCATGTCTTTCCAGCAGAGGAACAACCTGCACAGTGCAAACAAGGAGGAGGGAATGGGGGTAAATAGGGGCCCAGCAACTAATTTTTGTCCTTGGTCCTATTCCAGGCCTTGTCAAACATTCAGATAAAATCTATTTGATGTTGCTGAATTGTGTCTGATTTGTAGGAAACATTACTAATAACGCAGAATGGTTAATCATTCGTTTTTTTACCAATTAGGACTTTACCAAAATGAGATTTATATGACTAGCTTGGTAAATTAATATCTAATATTAATTCCATTTAAACAGCACAATGTGAAATAATTGCGTTTATTATCAATAGTGTGTCGTGAAGCTAGACAAGCTTGCTGTCACGACAGTACCTTACTATTACAGAGAAAATGATAGAACATAATGAGATGTCAGTGCAAAATGTTATATGAGGAGTGAAGCTGAGTCTGTGTCTATTTTTCTATTTTCCTGCCCGCTCTCTCTCCTCCATGGTTTTTTGCCCTGAAACACACCGTGGAGATGGAATGTGACGTGCTACGAAGATTTGCTTAATTTAGCCAAATAAATGAGATTTTATAAGCTCTCTCTTGCCAAAGCGTATTATTGTCAGACAATATCCATGATAGAATGGCTGCATGGCAGGTTACAGTCCTGTTACATCTGTCAGGGGGCTGTGGGAGGCGGTGGGGGAGCCGAAGCTCGGGTTTCTCTCCTCCCATTAGGATTTACAGTGTGTGGTGATGACATCATAGTGAACTTTTTGTGCTTTCTGGTATTTCTTCCTTTTGAATGTCACTCAAGGACTTTCTCTGGTAGAATGGCTACATCAAATTTAAGTAGGTATTCAAGACCAGACCACAAGAACACTTTTTTACTTTGTCATAGTATTTGGACACATGCGTGAGTTCATTAGTTTATCCAGGCAAAATGAATCTTTGTGTTTTGTTGACATTTGTACCACGTCCTCATGGTTTGGGGTCCCACAGGTGCCGCTGCTCAGTGTGTAAAAATAATAATCACAACTGCAGAATTATTATTTCTTTTTACTCTGGCCTTTTTAATAAAATAAAAAAAAACATAGAAAGGTATTTAAGAAGTAATCCTTCCCTTCGCCTCAAACTGGGCTCAAACTGTTAATGAAGGAGACTAATTATGACCTTAAAGCATTATTATGGCACCAGCTCATATATATCTTATTTTAAATGTTATATGGGCTGTGAATCAACACAAATATATATATTATTATATTTTGTATTCTTTGCCAAATAGTCATTTGCAGACAGTTTTACGTCAGACATAGTGTTATTACTTATGTTTTGGGTCAATTAGTCCCTGATAGACATGATGACTATTACAAACTGTTACATAATAAATCCAGACTTTAGGGTTTTGTGAGAGGTAGAGCTGCTTAAAAAGTCCTGTCAACTCCAATCACAGATAGAGACATGAAAACACTTTGTATTTAACTGTGTTTTACAGACTCCAAACAGAAATGTGTTATTTTCTACAGCAAATTATTTCCGAATCATGACATCAATTCAAAATCAGGTTTACAATTTCTCAAAGATTTAGAAAAGGTCATGAAGTATCAAGATGATAAAACAATGTTAAATATGCTCTGTGTTAGGGGCTTTTGTGTGCGTGCGTGCGTGCATGCGTGCGTGTGTGTGTGTGTGTGTGTGTGTGTATACTCATATGATGGCTCTTCTTTCTTGCTTCTATCATTTTACTTCAGAATATGAATGCAGGACTTCCAGTTGTAACGGGCTGCTGTATGTTTACACTGTGGTAAAGGAATAGTTTGCTGAATAGTTCTTGCACCACTGGTCCGGGATCTCCAGTGCTATTGAATTTCAAAATAAAAGCTGCTTGTGTCACTTCCAAACAGTACAATAATATTAGCTGCTGGGTGATTTTTTTCTTCTTCTCCAGATCAGAGTCCCACAATAAATTAGAATATAATGAGAGTTGCAGCTTTTCCTGTGGGACAGACAGAGCTCGTGTGGGGCAGAGCTGAGGAAACAGGCGCAGTGTGAAGGAGACGTCCCGGGCGCTTTTTCATTGTTATCTACCGGGATCAGGGCGCATCTTCAAAGCTGCGGAGATAAAGAGCTCCAAAAGGCTGAAGGGACTCCTGCCTTCACAACGACAGATCACCGATAAAGGAGACAACCAGGCCCAGCCTCTTATCTGCATTGTCATATAACTAAACGATCAGTTTAGCAGTATTGTCCCTGAGCTGGTGCGTGCAGAGCTCTCTCAGGGGAGGGCCCGCAAATCCCACAGGTTAGACGCTGTCTGACGGAAAGTTGTGTCTCGGTTTATTTGGCGCCTAAAAGACATGATGTGAAACTGTGAGTCACCGTGTTGACTGTGTACAGAGAAGCGGAGAAGGCTGAACATTTATCTTTAGATAACTTCACTGAGTTTATATTGATCTTGTACCTGTTGTATTATAAGTGCGGTATGTCATCCTTCAGTATGTGAGGCAGTCAGTCTCAGGATCACCCAGGTCTGTTTCTATGGGCTGGTTTGCGCTCCCAGGGTTTTCCCAGCTTCCTCGCAGCTTGTTTTAGCATATTTACATTTGAACGGGCCGACAATCCACTGTAATTGTGTTGCTACTGTAATGCCTTTGATCCGTAATGTTTGAAGCGCCTGTGCCAAACGCTGGCTGTTGGGTAGCTGGCGCCAGCAGCTCACCGGGGTATCAAAGACGCGTCAAATAAGAAACCATTGGAGGACGGCGGTATGAGCCCCCGTTTGATAACACGAGTAAAATCTGCGAGGTGGAGTTCTCACAGGACAGGTTTGTTTTTGGTTTTGTGACGCGACAGTGCAGAGGGTGTTACTGTCGCTCTGAAGCTGAGTTTGACGCACACAATCACTGTCCTTATTATAGTCCATTTCCCGTTTGGTCACTGGTGAATCTCTGTAATAGGCCCATTGTTTACACGATAGTCAGTTCAGTCAAAGTGTATCAGCAATAACCAGAAGCCAAATGACACATCTGTGCTGAGAAAGAATCATTAAAAAAAAAAAAAACCTTTTCTTTGGTCCCCCTGTATTTTCTATTTTCTGCACTGAACCAGGAAATATAATGTCATCACACATCAGGTCCAATGAATCACCTTTAAAGCATGGATCACTGTGATAAGGATTAAGGAGCTATTTTGGAGCTGCACCTTGAATACTAAATGACTAAAGATATATCCAGTGGTGGAAGAGGTGCACACATCAGTTGCTTATGTAAAAGCAAACTCATAAAAAAAGTACTCCTTTATTAGAACAAGTCCAGGACTATGAACTTTACAAAATAAAAGTGTTTGACACGGCACCATGCAGAATAGATCTCGTCATTGTCATAATATATTGGATTACAGAGTGGTGGAGCTCATTATTTGGATAGAATAATATCTACCCACTACCCGTGCAAAATCTTAACCTGCAAGTAACAAGCGGCTCTAGGTGAAATAAATATATGGAGAACAACATGAGCTCCTGAAATGTAGTAAAGAAGATGTAAAGTAAAATGGAGATACTCAAGTAAAGTACATGCATGTCAAATTTGTACTTACTGGAGTAAAAGTTACTTTCCACCATCCTGTTGACTCATTATTAGTGTGTCCTATAAGTGACAAAAATAAGCCATATGGTTTAAACAAGCCAGAGAGAGGGAGAGCAGTGAAAGCGATGGGACAGTCAAAGGACTATTTTCCAATCTCTCCTTTCTTTGTGCGGCTCTATGTTCGTTTCTGATGAATCAGTTTCTGACTGTTCAAAAAGTGTCAGAAAACTTTCCTCACTCAAAAACTGTCATTTCGCAGCCAACTAAAGCACATGCATATCTCCAGTGACTGTCATATGAGAAAGTGGTCGTTACTGTATTGGAGAAGTGGTACAACGGTGAGGGAGGTTATGTCAAATCAAAGCGTGTTTTAACTTCCAGAGAACGTGTTTACAACATTACAAAGGATTTCATTGGGACCTAGGTGGACCCCTGCACCCGCTTCCACAACTACTACATTAACACAGGCTGATGGTTATGTCTCTCTTCATCAGACCCGGGTATCAGTAATTGCATCCATGTTAAATTACGCATTCTTGTGGCCGAGTATTATTTAAAATGACTGAGCCGAGCCTAATAAGACTGCTCGTCCTGACTCCTCTCCTCCGCTGCTCCTTGCAGCAACATGGAAGTATTTGTCCCCTCTCCTGCCCGGGGTACAGCTGTTTCTGCAGGGCCCTCAGTTTCAGTCGGGGCGGACAAATGTATGAGCTCAGGGGGATTCTCACAGACTCAGTGGCGCCAGGTCTCCACACACTCACAGGATATGTAAAGACTTCAATAACGAGCCATTAACCCCTAATCATCAGGATCGATCGGGCGTTAACAAGGACCTCTACATATGCAAATTGCGGTGAGCGGCCGGCCCCTATAAAAGCTGACCCCGGAGAGGAGCTGCTGCCACACACTCCCTCTGACATCTGGTGGATTTACAGGTCACTGAGCAGCACTGCGAACATGGTGAAGTACTTTTCTGTGGACTGGCTGGCCCAGAGCCATCACACCACCACTCCGACTGAAGACCACGGAGCTGGCATGGATACTGCGCCGACCTGCAGACCTCACATCCCCTGCTTGGTGCAGCCGCGTCCCCCGACTTTTGGCAAGGGCTACCTGCAGCCAAAACCCAAACCATCAAAGCCCGTTGAACACATGGAGCCAGCGGAGATCAGCAGGCCTCTGGACTCCAGCCTGTGCTCACCTTCACATTCAACAAGCTGCGCCTCACCAAGTAAGTAGAACACCCCCCACCCTAACTTTGAAGCGGCGATGCAGTCTTGACGCACGAGCAGCGTTGATAACCAGACTTCTCCTTTCTCCAGTTTCAGAAATCAGCGGGTACTCCTCCGGGTACGAGAGCGAAGCAGCTTCCTATGAGTGCCTCTCTGTGGATGAGGCCAGCGAGGCGGAGAGAGACGGGCCACAGCGCCGCGTGCGCACAAAGTTCACCCCCGAGCAGATCAGCAAGCTGGAGAAGATCTTCAACAAGCACAAATACCTGGACGGTGGAGAGAGGACGAAGACAGCACAGAAGCTGAACCTCACAGAAACTCAGGTAAGACGCGATTTTCAATGCAAACAACCCTCTTTCATATACAGCATTTCACAACTGAGTATTTAATTGCGCATTGGTTTGGATTCTAACTTTTATTTTCGCTCTCTCTCTCTCTCAGGTGAGGACCTGGTTTCAGAACAGGAGGATGAAGCTGAAACGGGAGGTGCAGGACTACCTCGCCCCCCAAGTCCCATCAGTGATGTTCCAGCCTCTTCCCCCAGTTCAGTACCATGGCATGGCTGGACAGAGACCCCACTACCCCGCGACCGGCCCGGCCTTTTACCCGCTCCCCGTCCCGCAGATGGTCCTCCAGCAACCTCTCCCCCCTCACCACCCTCCCCATGTCATGATCCACAATCCTCACTTCTACTGACAAACTGTCAACTAAGAGACTCTTCCGACTTAGACACTTACAATCCAAAGAAAGTGCAATCCAGAGTTGTTTTATTTAAAAGTTGTATATGATTCACAGAAATGTCTATTTATAACTAAATAAAGTTTATCTTCTATACCGAAGCACCTGGACTCTGTATTTTATTGCTTCACACATCATTGAAACTGATGTTATCTTTATTGTGGGATTAGTTCAACATGAACGGATCAGTCCGTCTTTCATCTGCAGGAGGGAGGAGGCTGGAAGAAGGAGCTGATAAAGATGGCGGCTGTCCATTTAGGCTAAAGCTTCTTATCACAACTCATTGTGTGGATCTCCTGATTTGATTCTCTCATAATATCATGAAGATAGTGGCTGAAGCCAAATCAGATGAAGCCATATAAACAGATCATGATAAATTAAATCCTTTGGATAGTGTGTCATTCACTGTCATGTTGCAGACTGTAACAAAAAGGCAGACCAGACACTTTATTTTTCACACACGTCACGATGAGACCCCTCATGCAGACATTGTGCTGGGTGGGTCTTCCTCCTCACCTGTCAACAAAGGGCCGACCATATGCTCGGCTTTCATATGCGTTGTTTGTCCTCATCTCTGCACTTCAAACGCCAGCTAACGGGGAGATCATGGTCAACAATTAGTCCTAATTAAGCCGCTCATTGATGAGTTTACACTTACAGCAGGAGCCCCTGCAGCCAGGCTCCAGAGAGTCTGGGCTTTTGTGTGGCCAACGAATCTGATCTCTGGGTTTGAAGTCTGAGGCCTGAGGTTAAAACCTGATTATGTGATGAGCTTTGGAGATAGCAAACTTGATTCACAACAACTTGAAGATAATGGAAAGCTCATACATGGAGAGCTGTGGGCCTGTGTTAGCATTTTATTTCTAAGTTATTTGACGCCATACGATGTTTTTATATTTCCGGTTAAAATACACCGGATGCAAGTGCAGGGAAATAATTAGTAGCCTAATTAAGACAATTTTACTCTAAATTGTTTATTTTTTAAATTAAGTTTGGTTGAAAAGTATTATTCTATATATCATATGTATCTCTTTTGAAGGTATACCCAGTTCAGCAAACGTCTCATTCAAATAGGCCAGCAAACATCAAACGGAACTTTCTCACTTTCTGTCAATGCTTTCTGAATGCGGTAACACCCACCCAGTCCCACCATAACAAAGACTTCATCACCGGGATGCCTGATGCGCAGACAGCTGGGCGCTCATGCCTGTTCTCCAGGAGTCACTCACCGCCTCGGCAGCCTGAAAATGTCTACACATTAACAACAGCGGCCAGGTTGTCACAATACTTGAGACTTTTTAAGTAAAATGTTTTTTTTGTTTTTTTAAGTCAGTTTCAGTGTCTTAAACCACCAATAAATCACTGCTTAGACAATGTGTCGTTTTATGGAGCAAGGAAAATTGTCATTAAGACTTTTCTAGGAGAAAGGCACAGTAGGACCTGAATCCTTTAACCAGTTCTTTACCAGGGCTATATATGTGACATTTAGTGAACTATCCTGTATTCAGTGGCGGATATAGCCCTGAATCACTTTATGCAGAGATCTTTTTTAGTCTGAGATGCCAGCTAACTGATACTCAGACTCAGTGGCGCCGGATCATCTTCAGCCAGCCATGAACGTGAGAAAAAACACAACCCAACCTCTATTAACCTCAATTACAACCACCATCAAGTTTCTATCGTTCCGCTGAGAAGCCTTTGCATATGCAAATAAAGAAGTGTGCCCCTCCTATATAGGCTATCCCAGCGGCCAAGAGTCTCCCAAGAGACCGCAACACTGACCTGCACACACCTTGAGATCACTGACTGAAACATGGCAAACTTCTCGATTGAGTGGCTTTCCAGGAGTTATTATGAGGAGACTAAGGATGCTGCGCTCCATTCAAAGGTCCATGGTGAAATGAGGGAATTTACAAAAGAATCAAGAAGCCAGTTCTCTCCGACCTCACCAAACAGTAAGTTCACTGACAAACTGAGTCTTAAGAGCTGAGATTGACAGGCCTTTATGTATAATGATTTTTTACATTGTTGATTAAATGCTCTGCTCTTTCTTCCAGACAGCTGCGGTTACACATCGGGGTCTGAGAGCGAGGTGGCAGATGACAGCGAAGAGGAGGCCACCCAGCAAAGAAGGATGAGGACTAAGTTCACCTCCGAGCAAATCAGGAAACTGGAGAGCACCTTCAGCAAGCACAAATACCTGGGTGCTACACAGAGGAGGAAGTTTGCTGAGAAGCTGAACCTCTCCGAAACTCAGGTAGGTTTGAGAGTGGTTACAGAGGGTCTTAAAGCCCCCAGAGATATTACAGAGGTTTAAAAAAAAGAAATAGCAAAATGCGGAAAATTTGCTCCAGCTTTGGTTTAATGTCTCTCTGTACAATTGACCTGAATGTGTTATAAAGAGGGTCCTGGTCTGTGTTTTTAGACTGCTTTAAAATTACTACAATTCAGAACTGTGCACATGAGAGCATTAGCTGATGACTGCGTTTATATTTTCCAGGTGAAAACATGGTTCCAGAACAGGAGAATGAAGTTAAAGCGGGAGGTTCAGGACGTACGCCCTGAGTTTCTGTCGGTCCCCGCGGCTCTGCTGCCTCCTCTGCTGTTTCAGCACCACGTCCTGAGCGGACAGCTCCCCTCCGGCAGTGGCTTCTACCCGCAGCTGCAGCCGCTCCACAGGACGGCCCCGCCCGCTCCCCTGCACCCGGTCATCCTGGCTCCACACTTCTACTGAACTCCCCCACATTTCCCGAACGAATTCCTGTCTAGAATCTAGATGTTTTCTCATTGCTCTCTCTAAAAGAGGGGTTGTCAATATAATTGCTTTTAATATGTCTGAAGCACTACAGTAGCTATATATGGATGTAACTTGTTTATTATTAAAATAATGTAAATGTACAGTAAATTTTCTCTTTTATGTCACAAATAAAACAGAATTAAAGACTATAAACTGCCTTTACACTTCTTTGTCTTTCAGTCAGAACTGTTTGGAATATTTCCTCCAACTGTTATTTATTGGGTATTCTATGAAATTCGAATACAACTATAGCATAAAAGAATCAGTTTTATTCAGGGTTTTTTATGTTATCTTTGGTATCCTTCCACAATAATACAAAAAATGTAAAAGTGAAAACACATGAGTAACTAGAATGGCACCCAGAGAGCTCAGACCTCCGTCAAAGCCAATGCCAAACAACATACACTAGACTTCAGAGGGAAAAAAAAATTAAAATTCACGGTAATAATACAGATATGTCCCAAAATTTAACGAGTTCTTCCGTGGCCCATATCTCATCCATTCACCAAGTTCAGTGCAAATCGGTCCAGTACTTTTTGCATTCTCCTGTTGACAAATAAAGCTAATAATGAAAACAACACATTGAATAGCAAGGCCACAGAATCGACAGCCTTTACTAAATCAGGAAAACCAGTGTGTTACCATCTGTTGCAACATTGATGTCAACTTTAACAAAAGAAACAAATGGTGCAGTTTATGTTCCTCTTTTCACCACATTGTGACAATGTTGTGTTTTATTCTCTATCTCCCACTCCCTCTTTTTCTTTGAAGAAACTTCATAGTGCCCATGAAGAATCACAGAGCGGTTTTCCCACACTCAGGCCGCTTATTCCCTGGATTATCTACCATCATGGCATATCATGTAAAAAAGAAAAAAGAAAAAAGAAAAAGATAAAAAAAAAAAAAAAAGCATATACTTTGAGCAGTAACAGGCTCTGGCCAGCTCGTCTCTCAGTCCTGGGGAGTGGTTAAAAAGATGATGTCTGCGGCTGCTGACGGGCAAATATTTTCCTTTGGCGTCCGTTGGCATGGCTCCGAGCTGTGATCGCCCTCTGCTCGTTGTAGTGTTGCATCTTCAAAGGGACATCAAAGCGGAGCTAAATGCCAGATCATTGAGATCCATTGAGGTCTATTGTTTCCCCGATTGAACAATTCGCACTTACTTGAAAGATGCGGAGGGTCGGCGCCCTCGAGTCTGCCAGAGGTGTGTATTGCCTCACATTGAAGTCATTAGGTGGCTGCAGCTAAATAGGTGACTGATTGAGTCACTCTGTCATAAAGTGGCTGTATGCCTTGTTCACTTATGATTTGCTATTCGGATTCAGAATGGGAAGTACCTGCTGGTGGAGTGATTACACTCACTGCAGGCTATCAGACGCTGACATATGCTGTGTCATTCAGGTCTGGCTCCTTTGGCTGGGTTTCTGTTGAGCAGCCACATACCTGATTCAAGTGATGTTTGGGATTATTGTAGTGTAGTAGTGTCTACGCCCATCATTTACACCTATATTTAAGAGGAAAATAAATACTGACGCCACCCACCAGGAGGCACAATTATCAAAGGAGATGATTACAATTCCATGCATGAGTAACTACTACAATGAGAGAAACATTATTCATTTAAAGGCTTACTGGGCCATACATCCATTAATACAGTACCTCAATACAAAGCATCAGACAGTGCAAGACCTCAGTCTGCAGCATTAACTGGGATGGTTCCTGGCACTAATGGCAACAAGAGCATTAATAAACGATCCATTGTGAGAGGACAAAGAGTTGGGGAGTTGAATGGCAACGAGTGTCTCGCTGATCCTTTAGAATCAGGTGAGTGGGCAGGTGAAGAGCCGCTAACTGTCTCGCTGAAGCTGCAGCTGCAGCTGGATGGCAGCAGACGGGCTGGAGCCGAGGACGGATGATGGGGAAAGGCCAAAGGTCGGTCACAAGTTCAGAGAGAGCAGCTGCTAATGAGATCGACAACATCATCTGCTGATTGTAGTGATGGAATCAGACTGACAGTGTAGGGCTGTCAGAGAAATTCTTTCAGCAGTGGTAAATGTACAATTAGTCTTTGGATTTTGATGAATGACTTAATGAATTGTGTGGCCAATTATGAAAATGTCCAGAAAACCCCCAGAACTCTCATATTTCATTCTAATCATTTAAATAGCCCTTTGTCAGGGCTGGAAAGTACATTTACTTGAAGCACTTGTGATTTATTTGACATTTCTTTTTCATGCGTTTTTATACTACTCCACATTTCAGAGGGAACATTTGCACTTTTTACTTCACTACATTTGTTGGACAGTTCTTGTTCCTGGATTACTCCGCAGATTAAGTTGTAGCATTAAAAAAAAAACAATATGACCAGGTTATAAAATACAAAGCATATTCAAACATGAAACCAGTGGATCCCAACCTTTTTGGCCCCATACAAAAAAAAGCATTATCCATTTGTGGCTTTTTGTCATGTTTCAAATGTCCGTGAGTTGTTACTGATTTCAACTTTAACCTCTTGGTTTGAATTCAATCACTGTTTAAGGTCAGTAAAGCTCAAATTATCCAGCATGTCACTGCAAGAGCAAAGATGCATATCCACCCCATTTTTACCCCATTAATCATCTCCCTGCACCTCAGACCTACCTTGTAGCCCTTTAAAGGGCCTTTACCCCTATGTTGGGAACCACTGGACTACACTAACCAAGTATTTAAAAGTAGATCAGCCCTCACCAGATACAACAGTAAAATACTCAAATTTATGCACATATGCATCAACAAGCTAATAATGTAAAATCTAATAATATATCAGTCACAAGAGCTATTTCCCTGCAGAACAAGTACCATACTTTTACTTTACTCTCTTCAGAGTAGTAGTAATTTCAAGAGCAGGACTTTTACTTGTAATGAGGTATTTTAGGATTATTGGTGTTTTTGATTAAAAAAATGATCTGAATACTTCTTCCACTTTCTACCACTGACTTTTGTTTTAATGGTTTCATCTAACTATGTAAATGAATGTCTCAGTCTCAGTTTTAAGCTTGACAAAAATACGAAATTGAAGAAATGGTGGTGACACGCTGGGGAGTTTTGGCAGTGTAAGACAATAACACTTTCAGTGGCAAACAAAGAGGTGGAGAACACTGTGAAATCTCTGTTTTTATGGGATTAAAGCAGCAATACTGAGGCAGTTTCTTGGGCACTGTTGCCCATCAGAGTTGCCCAAAAAATTGCCTAGTGTATCACCGCCCTAAGTCATGTCTGTGCCGTAATAGTAACAATATAAAAAGGATTGAAATGTCTTTTTGTATGAGTCAGCCTCCTTAAGTTACAGAGTTCAAAAAGTCAGGAAGCATAACCCAGTATTTAATAACAAGATGTCTTTATTCAAAAACAACAGCAAACAAAAACAGTCGGAGACAAACAGATGTTTTCAATGGACAATGATGCAGCAAGAATACAAGATTACCTCATTCCACACTTTCACAATGTCATCATGAATGAGTATGATGAAATCTGACTTATGATATTACATAAAAATGAATCATAGAGACACGAAAATTACCTTTGGTCAGTGTGTCAGAGTCTACGTTTTGCAGTCTTCCTCTGCAAGTCCATGGCAAGCTAAAGCCTGGGTGTGTGTGTGTGTGTGTGTGTGTGTGTGTGTGTGTGTGCTTTGAGGTCAGCTGTCACGCAGAGAAGATGATGAAACGGCTGTCTGCCTGGTGGAATACCTCTGCAGCCCCATTTTCCCATGCCCTATGCCTCTTTAAAGTTACATCTCAAAGAGGTATATGCATAGGAAAAAGGAACAGCGAGTGCAAAGAGCCCTGCTGCCCCGTCGCCGCACACTGGAGCCTGGAGGACAGAGATGTAAAACACCCAGTCGGTTACATGACTGCATGTGCAACAGAAGTAATGACTTACATATTTCTGACTTCGTCTGACTGAGAGAGATTCACTCGACATACAGAAGCAGAAAGCTTTGAATATAAAAATGAACCAAAATACACGCTCTACTTTAAAAAAAAAACAAAAAAAAACACAAAGCAGATGTAAACGGTTCTAGTTTTTAAATGGTAGGAATCAGTTTATAACACACATGAGAGAAGAAGAGGACTTACCCCGTAAAGCAGCAGATGAGTCTCTCCTGGGAAAGCACCTCCTGTTGGCCATTTATCCTTCTGAGGGACCTTGAAGATGTTTGAGAAAGACAGAGTAGCTGTTGTCTTTGCTCACTCAGCACTTATCCTCCCTCCTTGCTTCCAAGCCAGGGCGAGACACCTGTGGAGACAGAGAAAAAAAAACAAACTGTTTCAGTACATTGATACACACGGCTCAGATGACTATGCAAAGTTCATTGTCTATTGTGCCCAAGTGCCCCCCAGTTAGCAGTGAACTTGTTCCAGTTATCACCTGTAACATTTATCTTACACGGTTATCTGGCACATGCTGCAGACGTGGTGGAGCAGAGCACGGAAGAAGGGAGAAGTTGAGAACGGCTCGTTCCTGCCATTGGAAAAGTTTCTTATCTGTTCAGGGTTTTTTTTTTCTCTCTCTCTCTCTTTCTCTCTCCCAGAAGAGGGGCCTCAATGCTTTTCAACACTCAAGGTCTCTAGACAAGGACTCTCAGGGTGCGCAGAAGTGAGACGCTGACAAACACACACACACACCACACACACACACACACATACACACACACACACACACACACACACACACACAGGGGCCATGTAGTGTGTAGCGGAGGGAGTGTTGTGGCATGTCAAGGCCAGTGCAGTCGGCCGAAGATGAAACTCTTTTCTCTGGATCTCTGAGTTTGCACCATTAAGAGCAGCAGTCATATATCACAGGGTTTAGTAAAGGAAGACTTGTCTTGGATGAGCGTGTCGGCCCAGTTGAGGTCATCTCCTGTCACATAGGAAAATATCTCTGAGCTATAA